CTTGTAATACGACGCTGTGGCGCGAGTTGTATAGGATGTTACAAATTTTGTTTTTTTTTTTACTTAATTAGTTTGTTTGAAAAATATTTTTTTGTAATTATGGATTTTGTTTAACGTTAATATTTTTTTATGATTATTGGCAAGTAGCATTAGATGTGTGTTCATTTATTGTCGCGATGGTAAAGACACGCTGTATAAAGATATTAAACCTGATCTCTCTTCACGATTTGATACGTCTGATTACCCTTCGGAAGCCGTGATAGCTCAGTGTCCGCGCGCTCGCCTTTAATTCAATATACTCGAGCAACCTGAGTTCGATCCCCGGTGCCGGCACCAATGAAGTTTTTAACTTTAAGTGCTGACTTATCACGTGCTCCGCGGTGAAGGAAAACATCGTGAGGAAACCTGCATATTTTCGAAATAATAACAAAAAACATTTCGAAGATATGTGAAGTCCGCCAATCCGCAGTGGGGCCGCGTGGTGGACTATGCCCTGATACCCTCTGTATAGAGGAGGCCTTTGCCCAGCAGTGGGACATGTATAGGCTGTTACTTTACTTTTTTACCCTTCGGAATATATTTGGTTATCCCCAAGTCAACAAAAAGAAATCAGGGTTTATCAAAGATGAAAATAATGGTAAAATTTAAAAAGAATGTGAAATCAATGTGAAAATAAATTGACAACAAAATCTAAAGGTGTCAATAATAGTGTCACAAAAAGGATGACAATGGAAAATTATAAGTCATGTCTTTTCAATAGAAATATTCATTACGACGCTATGTATAGATTTAGATCAATAAAGCAGGCAATATTTACACAGCAAATTAATAAACTATGTTTATCATATAATGACACAAAAAGATTTATTTTGCCTAATAATGTCGACACGTTAGTATGGGGTCATTATCAATTAAGATGTAAACAATAATTAGAATAAACCATGTAACTACTATTTTAAATAAACTATGTGAATACCTAATTATATTAAATGTAATTATTATATTAAGTTAGTAATACATTTTGCAGGGAACTATGCGATTTTAAAACATTATTTTTGGTGAGCATGTTGACGTGATTTGTAAAATATTTTTTACTGATCAGAACATCAGTATTACAGTGTACCTTGCCCGACTCGCTATGGACTGTAGACGTAGTTGGTTTCTCATAATTTGGTCCTTTGCATCATACACTAACACTTCTTTTGAGGGTTCCTCCTCGCCCCATTTGTACAGGTTGTGATTTCAATTATTGACTGCGAAAATTAAAAAATATTAATATTCTTTGAAATTAAGAAAAAAAGTCTTGTATTTCTTTACAAGTGCAATGTTTACTTACTTAACATTGTTTTCTCAACCATAATACAAATTCGGTACAGCTCATCGTCGTATCTTTTATTGAATAATTCAAATTTTTCAGCTTTTGCATAAAGCTGAGACATGTCAATGTTTTTACATAACTCATCAAGTTGAGATTTATCGATTGTTTCAGCGAGTTCAAACAGGTTTTCGCTTAATTCATCGAGTTTACTAGTCTTCCAATAGGCACTGACAACAGTATTTTTGTTATAGTTTATTCTCTATGTGTTTACCATTTTGTAAACACATAGAGAATATTTAACTCTTATGTTTTCATTTTTCCAGTGTTGACTGCTAGGTATTTTCGCTATTTTTTTCAGTTCATATATATGTTCATATATAACCTATGTTTGTCGAAATGTATGCAACACCACCATCCGGCTGAGTTCGAGATACCGATGAACACTGCTTTTTATTTTCGATGTTAGGGAAATCGAAAAATTCCTCAATGTTTTCAATGTTCTGCTCTCTTTTCCTTTTTGGTTTTGGTTCTGTATGATCATAGTATCCCCATGTGATAATTGTATATAGTAAAAATTATTGAAAGTATTCTCTTCATTGAATGTGTTCTAAAAAGCAAGATTGTATATGACATAATGTAAGTTAGCTTTATTTGATAAAACAATGAGAGAATAAAAAGAATTGTGACAATGTATATTCATAAATACATAAAATTTCAAATATATCCATAATCATATCAATACATCCTTTCCATCCATTTACCTCCATCGTGAGTGTGGTGTCGCGACGATTTTTTTGATCAGTGTAGAATGAATATCATAATATTTTTATAAGAAGTATAATAATATGTATAATGAAGGAATTTTAATACATTTTTATTACAATTCGTTCACTTATTAATCCAAAGGAACTTCGTTCCATCCGGATGTCCCTTGACACCTCTGTAAGGGCAAAGATAACGCTAATGGATACAGCCAATGAATCGGGCGTACCCGAAAACCTACGGTTAGGTCCTAATTTTTTTTTTTTAAATTTTATTTTAAGTTCGACTTCGACGATTTTCAGAAAAAAAAAAACAGATTCATGTAGGAGTTCTGGCCGTGTTCCTGTACTCTGTAATCCTTACTACTCTTGAAGTCTAGCCAATACGGCGGGGGTAGTAGTGTATGCCTATATCAACAAGTGGTTATAATAAATAGCCTGTTACTTAACTTCACTTAACGTATCACGTAATATGTATGCTAGGTGTATACACGATAATAACCCCCGGGAATGAGATGATCGCTCCTAAGCTGTTTCAAAAAAAAAATATGTACTGTATAACAATGTATTTGTTGAGTAAAAAAAAAAGAGAATACCTACGGAGTTTCTTTCGCCTGTTTCTTCTCCGCTAGAGGAACATCGTTACGAAACGGTGGTAGATTTAAAAAATGACTATAGATAAATGAAATGTAGGTATATGTCTTATTTCGATGAATAAATGATTTGGATTTGGTGATGGTGAGATCGTGGTACAACTGCAGTACATGGAATAGTACGGCAGATGTACCAGATGATCTCGCAGAAGACAGTGACGTAGTGCAATTATTAGCTCTACGAAAAAAGATGACAGGCGGTTGACGATGCCCTCTCTCTTTCCCTTTTTTCGCGCCATTTTCGTGCTTTTTTTTTTGTTCTGTTTTGTTCTTTTTTTATCGTCGGCCACACTCCGCTGCCAGTCTTTTTTTTGGCATTCGGGCAATTATAAAGTTTTTATCGGTGCGTAGGAACGGTTACTTGTTTGGGTCCTAGTTCAACGTACTTGGTTCGTAAGGCGCCAAACGGGGCAGTTTAATTTTTGAATTTCGAACGTGTTATGTCATATACGTTCAATTCAAGGAAATAAATATTCGTAATCGTTTTATTATTAATTACCCGTCGGTCTTAATGCCTTAAAGCATTAGAGATGCCATTCAGCCTATTGAGATCCTTTGTCTGGTGCAATATTAAGCACTAGCTGCTGATGGCAACTACGTCCGCGTAGAATAGGCTGACATTAAGACGGAAAGACAAATATTCATAAAATTTGTATATAAATTATGGCCTATGTCTTATTCTGATGTATAAGCTATATTATTGTAAAGTTGTTAGAATCCATTCATTAGTATTTGCGTGAAAGAGTAACAAACATCCATCCGTACATAAAAACTTTCGCCTTTATAATATTAGTAAGGATTATTGCATCAAATAACTAAAATTAGTAAATTATATCATAAATACTTTTGACATACATGTGTGAATATATACATAAATATATACTAGTATGTATGTACATTCAAATATTCTTACAAATATAATCATCTGGCCTTTGATTATATACTTGTCAAGTATTTTCTTATACAAGTATTATATACTTGACAAGTATATAACCAAAGCTTCTGGCTAAAGGGAATGGATAAAAAATAATAAATAAAAGCATAAAGATCATTTGGAGAGCTCAAAAAGCGCTCACCTAACTAGCATAACATGTCTGCTGGAAGAAATTTCTTATGAAATAAGCAGGGAATTTGTACAAACTCTTTCATGTGTTTACATTTCTGTCATAACTCTGTGCACATAAATTGTAAAATAAAATAATGCATAACCCAAAAAGGACAAAGTGGGTGCTTTGCTATTGTAGTCTTTACTGTATAAGATTCATCTTAATAACCATTTTTTTACTAACGAAAAACTAAACCGACTACAAATATCTCGCTCTGTATTCATTTTATAATTGATTTTCACGAGTTCCCTACGTATCTTCGGAGCTGAAGATCCAATACCAATGTAAATATGGGACCACGTGGGAGCGCCAGCTTTCAAATAAAAAAATAATAATCAAAATCCGTTCACTCAGTGGAAAGTTATGAGGTAAAAAACATTAAAAAAAAACAGTCGAATTGAGAACATCCTCCTTTTGAAGTCGGTTAAAAAGCAGTGAAATGTGGTATATCCACTTACGTATGTATGTTTGTTCTTTTGTGGCGGTCTATAGACAAACGCGTGGGCCGATTTTGATGTCTACGTCGATAGAATTGCCCTAACCTTGAGAGCGTCGCTAATAATGACCGTACTGGATACAACTAGGAGCTATATTGTGAAAAAGTATTTGCTAGGGCCTCGTAACTGTGTGCAGACAACGCGATAAACTTCGTTTTACAAGGGTGCGAAAGGGATAGCGCTCTACGAAACCGAAATCATACCTTTTCAAAGGTCGACGTGCAATATTTATCGCAGAGTACTAACTACGTATAACTACACATTCAAACTGCGTGATAGCTGAACCTTTTGAAAAGGCTTTGAATGAAACATTTCCTATGTTATAACTATATTATTTTGCTTTTCACGCGAGAAGATGGCAAGGGAGCTGGCGGTTCACCCGATGTTAAGTGACAACCGCCCATTGACATTGCAACAACAGTAGGATCGCAGATGCGTTGCCACCTTTCAACAAAGTGGGCCCCGGCTACCTCACTCACCAGGCGAAACGCAGAAGTGTAACACCTCCACTCCACGCCGATCTTCTGTTAGGTCGTGGTACTTACCCGGACGGACCTGCCCACTGGTGAAACAACGAAGACCGCCGCGCGGCACCACTGCGTTGAGTCATGCAATAAAAACATCCGTCCTAATTTCCAGCGCGGCGGCGTCGCCCCACATCTGAAATGGCGACGGTACGCACCATGGGCAACGGCGACAGGGTAGTCGCGCTGGTCAAAAGACGCGAGAGCGTGAGCAACGAGGTCTCCTCCACGTCGAGCGACGACTGCCGCACTGGCAACACCGACGGCGTGGTCGAGTTCAACACGCTGCGCAAGTCCCGCTATCGGGAGTCCAACTCGGACAACGAGTTGGCCCGGCCCCGCGTCCAGGCGAGGGCCCACCACAAGTCCATGGGCAACATCCACGACGCGTACAGCAGGGAGGCGAGCGGGATCAGGCACGGCCAGAACAGCGTGAGCAACATAGACCTCTCGCTCCACGGCGGGCCGAAGAAGTTCGACGCGCTCCAAATACCGATAGTCGGCTACGAGGTGATGGAGGAGAGGGCTCGCTTCACGATATACAAGCTGAAGGTCGAGGACGACGCCAGGGACCAGTCGTGGCTCGTGTTCAGGCGGTACACTGACTTCGTCCGGCTCTACACCAGGCTGAGGGCGGAAAGACCGGAGCTGATGCTGCCGCTGCCGGGGAAGAGGTGGTTCCGGGACAACTTCGAGCCGGCCTTTCTGGAGGAGCGCGTGAGGGGCCTCCAGGTGTTCGTCAACGCGGTGATAGCGAAGCTCCCCAACCACCCGGCCGTTAGGGAGTTCTTCTGCCTGGACGAGCCGCCGCAGGTATTTAGCTACCAGCCCGAAGTGCAAGCGGTGTACGGTGCGCTGGAGGACTCGATAGCCACCCTGAAGATGCAGCTCAAGCAGAAGGACGCGACGATAATGCACCTGCAGAGGCAGATCAGTCAACTGGAGGGCAAGACGCGCAGCTGTCCGAACTGCAACGGCACCAAGTCCTGATAAAGTGTATCAGCGGGTGCAATCAAAGCTACAATGGCATCAGAAAGGGAGCCAAAGTAATGGTATGACCTGCAAAGGCTATTAATCAACTGGAGGTTTAGTTTTGGAAGCCATCATCACACCAACGGGATGTACTAGTCTGGTGAGTATCGTCAGGTACAGTAACACTCTCCGAAGCAAGTCTGCACATAAAATTGGCGTTAAGAGACAATAATTAAATTTAAACGCGTGGAAGGAATATCGATGTTTAATGTGCCTCTTATCGTTTCATTCAATGAAAATTAACACAGTTGTGACTTCAATCCGTGTTAATATTTAAGATATATATATACATCAAAGAATTTTACATAAGAAAATTCACCTTTAAAATCATTTATTTAATATAAAAAAAACATCATTATTAAAAAACAAGGAAATAATGATGGCTTTATGTCGAATTATGTCGTTTTTTTTTCTCTTTCATGTTCACTAAACAATTTCGGTACCATATTGAATCAATGAATAATTTAATTTATTTCAATTAAAAAAAAAAAAACGAGAAACAAGAGTAGAGCTTATTTTGTGTGACCTTAGTTAAAAGTAACTTTAGAAACCCTTTGGTTAGAGCAAGCGATTAAAATTTATATACACAAAATCTACAATCCAAAAAGTATAGGCATATACTGATGTAGTTTTATTTAAAGTAAATTAAAGTTTATATTTAAAACGAAAAGTTAAAGACCAAATAACTCATAAACATTTTAAAGTGGAATGGTATATATTCCCATTATTTCTATTGCCTGATGGTCATACAGTTTAAAGCACAAACATTGCTGTAAGTTAAAAAAATAAACATGAATAACCATTTTGTTAAAGGGATATAAAATACAGCAATATATCTACAAGAACCATGAAGTTTTTAGCCTTTTTATATACAATAGTTCAAATAGTATTAGCATATAGCAAATCCGAAAGTTCAACTTCGTACAAATGAAAATAGTTGTTATAACAATGATATATAATATTTATGGTCAAATTAAATATTCCTAATGATGTATGTAGCCACTATGTACAAAGTGAAAGTGATATTATTTACAATTTATAAATAATACATAGCATTAATGAAAATAAATTAATATTTAATTTTATAACATTGAATGATTATAGTTTTGTGTGTTTGTATTTATTTTAATGCAGTTCTGGAGTCAGCAAAATTTGTGTATCAATATTTTAGTTATCAATAGTTTTGTCAATTATTTTTAACCGAACTGGCCCAAACTGTTTATAATGGACCTACTAAGTTTTATAATGTGATGTGTGGTGTATAACTAAGTAAAGTCCTGTTGGTCAATAATTAATGCTTTTTACATAAATAAATAAAATCATCTCAATATGAAATAATCCTTCTTTCTGACCATTAATTTCATTAGACTAGACTATTGACTACTACACAAAATGTGCTGTTTCCATGAATTCTTTTTATGTCTCACTTTTTCTCTTAATATTTGATTTCAATTTGATAATTTTTTTTTCACTATTTATAATATACAAAGTAAGTGCCTTACACACTCCGAGTGTTAATTTTAACAGTAAAGTCTTTCAAATGCGAACATATTAAGATTTTTGTAAATATTTTATTCCTTAAAATCTTACGTACGCTGAAAGATTCTTTCTCGTTTTTACTGGTGCTAAATGTGTCACTGTCTGCAATAATTGAGCATTTGAAATGTGATTAGTGATAATTGATGTATTTAATTCTATTTTCTTAGGTTAGTTTTTAACTTTGTGTGTTGTATTGATAAAATTGTTCTCTATTACTGTGGTTACAGAAAACTTATGTTTAAAGTGTAGTAATCAACACATCATCTAAATGGAGATGGGAGACGGCAAGAGCTGTTAACATATCAATATGTCCTCTACACCTGGTAGAGTTGAAGTAACATGAGTTTTATGTTTTTACTAAAAATTCAGCATTTCTATGAATTGATTATAAAATATTGAATTTTAATTCATTCATGTGAAAATTTCAACTGTAAATGGTGCTAAAATATATTATAATGATATACTGATGAATTGCTTTTAATAGATTACCAAATTTTGAATTTCTTTAACCCATTGTCATTTAAATTATCATATTTACGAGTTATGTTAAGGATGATGAAGTTCGGAAATCTATTTTAAATGTCACTTGTTTAAATAACTGTATTTTATTAATGTACAAAATTATTTTGTGGTATTCAGTGATACCAACTCTGTTAATTGTACCATATTAAGCACTAACAGTTTATTATTTAATGTAAAACAGAGTATATTTAGAATACGCTTATAGTATTTTTAAGGTTTTATTAGTTGATTGTGCATTTGTTTGTATTTTAGTGCAATCATGCTGGAATTGCTATGGATGAACTTAGAATGTTGAACACAATTTTCATTTTACATTTATGGTGAATTTTTTGAGAATGAGAAATAATATAAATTTATGAGCTTAGATAGTTAATGAGTAATTTATTTAGATACATAATTACAGGTACCGTTAGTACAACTGTTTTTCAATAATTATCTTTATCTTCAGTTTGATTGCACTAAAGTAAATTTACATGTTCAAATATACATATATATATATCCAGCTATAATTTGAGTGCCTTAGTTACGAACTTTCAGACCGAGTATTAGTTCTTAGAATAAGAATTGCGGTGATTTTACAGCATTAGAATTCAATAAAATTGTTTATATTATACGTTGCTTGCTTTTCTTTACTGTATACAGGTTTAAAATTATTTAGATGCCTCTAGCTCGATGGCAGTTGATAAGCTATTGGTTTTCGGCGCCGGGGTTCGTGGGTTCGATTCCCACACGGGACAAGTATTTTTGTGACCCACAGATACAAAGAGTACATTTAAATTTATGAAATATTTGCACAGATATTTTTTGGATCTGGGCGTTTCTTCCCAGAGTTTTGACGTCAGGCAGGCGGCCGGTCGTAACAAACCTGTTACAAAATGAATCACGTGGCGTAACCCATTACGCTCAGGGTCACTACATATAGTGACCCTGCCTCTTGCGCCAGAGGGTGTGGATGTCATTAGTTTCAGTTGTTTTTTGTGGGAAGGTGTCAAACGAGCTGGCGGTTTTGTGGATGTTAAGTGATAACCGCTGCCCATGAACATTTTAACAACTGTAGGGATGTAGACGAGTTGCAACGTTGAATAAAGTGGGCCCCGGCTACCTGACTCATTAGACGAAACGCAGAAGTATGACACTGCCAATCACGCCGGTCTTCTAGTCTCACATAAAAAAAAACTAAATGACAAAATCATGATGATTTTTTTTAATTTATCGAAAGCTCGTCATACAAACCCTTGACTAAATAGAATCGACGACACGTGGCACCAAGACCTGCTTAACTTCTGAGCCAGCCAAGCCACTAAATGCAAGGATTGTGCGGAGTTAAAATAAAACCAGCAATTATTTATAAGAATTTTAATAATTATTATATATGGTCGTGTATATCTTAAATATAATTATGTACAGTTAACTTTTATAAATAGATTAAAATATTCAATGTGCCAATTAAGCCTCGTTAACGTCGATGCCTCTGTCAGCTAAAATTCTAACATAATTTTAGAAATTTATTCTACATATTTTAATAATTTTAGAATATCAGAAAAATATTGTGGGAGAGAGACGGATATATGTCATATCTCGCTCTTCAGGTAGGAGATGCGGACTAACAGCCGGGAACTAATTGAGAAGAGGCAAGAAAATTGAGATTAAAAAAATATTGAAGAAAAAAAAAATTGAAAAGCAAATGTGTCACAAAATATAAAACAGGAATAAAAAAGTAACAGCTTATATACGTCCCACTGTAAGGCCTCATTTGAACTGATTGTATAATGGCACAGTTCACCACGCGACCCCACTCCGGATTGGCATACTTTGCAATCTTCGAAATACTTTATCATTACGAAAATATGCAGGTCTTCTAACTATTTCTTCCTTCGCACTGAGCACGGGATAAGTCAGCTCATATAATTGACAATTCCATTGGTGCCAGCACCGAGATTTGAACTACGGTTGCTCGACTATTGATTTATTGACAACTATACTATCAGTATTAATGTATCCCGAATCATCAATTTCCTTAGCTGCTTCGATTTCGGGACTGAAGAAACCGTGTCGTTAGTAAGTGTAAGTTGCCATAGTCTTTTTGCCGTCATTTTTAAAGTTAAACATATCTACTATAAATTAGAATTATACTAGTTTTAACTGTTATAAATTTAACTAACTATAAGGTGATCACACCGAAACGGAGTAACAACTATAACGACAGCAATATATCGTTTCATCTGACTAATGGAAAGTGATGAGAACGAAGTTATTAAAACAAGTGTTATTTGCATCGACAATACCAGTGTGGGATATTTTAAAGATATCGATATTGGAGCGTCACAAGGTACCAATTATGTTGATGTCTAACACTGCAACGGAGTAATAATTACAATCAACTTCAAAAGTATAACAGCATGAGTTATATCGATACAGTAAAAGCATCGACGTATTCGAATTATATCGATATCTTTGACTGTAAGCGTAAATTATGACATGGAAATAAAAAGTTTATATATATTGGGTCATAATAGAGCATCAATTTTATCTATACTTTAAAAGAATCGAAATATGCGAGCGAAAATATATCGATATATTCAATGCATCTATATCTTACTGTAAGAGTAACTATTACATCTATTTGAACAGTATCAAAATATAAGGTGATAAATCTTAAACGTTATAAGAAAAAGGCAACAATTTGTCTATACATTAAAACTATCTATGTATCAGACTGAACCGGATATAAAGTACACTGAAATATGCAACATATCAGAATAATTCGAGTAACAATTATGTCGATGATTGGCAAACATTGATATATTAAAGCGGATGATTTAATCAATTGTATCTAGTAGTTATATTTATTAATTCAAGCTATATATTAAACTGCAACAATTTCGTCTGTAAGTATAAAATATAGATATAGAATTTTAACAAACCAACAGCACTATCGATATAATTAATCGTAACAGAGCCACAAGTCAATCAGTACACGCAAAGTATCGATACATCCGTTCATAAAAAGGTATCAATTACGATAGAGTGATTAATATATCGATATTAATTCTTGGACCTATTATAGCTGCAGAAACATTTGTTTAATAATATTGTAAACTGTATGTAAGTATTGGGATCTGTCACCGAATTGTAATACAGTAATGTGCAAAATTAGAAGGAACTTATTTTGGAGAATACCGTTAAAATTCAGTCTACTTCATCTATTATCTAAACAAATTGCCAATAGATGGCGTTATCATACATTCCTTCCAAGAAGTTTTTGAAGCTACACCTCATTTGGCGCGTTAGGGAAAAATGATGAGAGTAAATTTTTAGGATCCGCGCGCACACGCCACAAAAAACCGACACCCTGAAGTTAGCTAGACATCTACGTATGTTTGCGTGAACACTGACAACTGTATTCACGATATTTATTTTGTGATATTTAAATAAACTTTATTTAACTAGATAATGCGTTATAATAAAACTTTAAATTAATTACCCTTTTTCTATTGTTAGTGTCGTTTTTTCTACAAACGTAGAATAAGGCGAAAGTTAAATTTTTGAAAAGATTTTTATCTTGTTACGCTAAAGAAGTATAACTTCTATCGGGTGTACATAAGTACACACACATTTTTTTTGAAGTTTTATACTTATTATATCTTTTGGCGCGTTTGGAAAAATTATGAGAGTAAGATCTTCAGGATGCGCACAGCCAATAAGCGACCGACATCGACGAAGTTCACGGTAGTACCATAGAAAGCAATAACAATTTTTTGACATTTACCTATAATTCTAATACAAATATTCAAACCTTTATAAATTGCATGTAATCTCTATTTCACAACAAGAGTACTGGCAAAGGGGATAATAATATTTTTTCTTCTGTTCTCTAAAGAAGTATAACTTCTTATGCGCGTACATAAGTATTTATATTATATACTATTATAGTATGTACTATTTTGCGACAATAGAGTGTTTGAATCATAAATTTTGACGACGAATTATCCGTCAAAGAAAAAAAATATGCTGAGAAATAATATACATATAGAGGTGCTAAGTTAGTCTGTATGTTTGTGCTTACACACACGTTCCGCAGAAACACGTGCTTATGGATCGACTTGACTTTGTGCATAGATTGATTATGGACCGGAGGTTGAAGTATCTGTTGCAGCCACAAGATACGGAGTCCCAAGGATAACTTTCTATAATAAAATCACCGGGAAAATTAGTATTGATTGTAATTTAGGCCCAGCTACTGTACTTACACATGGTAAAGAAAGGATATTTGTGAGACGGATAGCCTTTACGGCTGAAAAACACTTCCCTGTGACCAGAGAACAATTGCTTTGTTCAAAAAACAATATTTGAGAAAAATTTAGATCACTATCCGTTCACAAGCTATCGGCCAGGAAAAAATGCACCTTCGGTTTTTCAAAAGGCATCCAGATCCTGTCTGAACGCACAGCGCGAGATGAATTCACAGAATATTACATAATCAGTTGGTTTGAAGTAGATTTAGAGAAGGTAGATTTTTTGTTGACGTTCAATAAGAGCTTAAGTTAGGCCTATATTGAATAAATATACTTTGACTTTGAAGTAATTAAAGACTCGCTTGAAGTAAATAAATGACCCTGAAAGAATTTTTCAACACTGACGAAAGCGCATTCTACTTACAACCGAAAGATCGATTCATGGTGAGCAAAGGTAACAAAAATGTCTATACAGCAGTAGGAGATGAGAAAGAAAATTTAACTTTGTTGGTGTGGTAATGCTGCTGGAGTTTTAGCTCCACCAATAATAGTATACACTTAAAGTTTAAGCTCCACCAATGATACTATACACTTAGAGTTTTAGCTTCACCAATGATACTATAAACTCAAAGTTTTAGCTCCACCAATGATAGTATTCACTTAAAGTTTAAGCTCCACCAATAATAGTATACACTTAAAGTTTAAGCTCCACCAATAATAGTATACCCTCATGAGCGTTCACCTGCCGTAATTGCTAATTGCGTACCAAAAGATTGGTGCATAGGCAGGTCAGATTCAGGCTAGAACTTTTTATGAATACATTAGTAATGTGAATTAATTCAATCCATAGATAGTAAACGAGTAAATTTTTCTACCACGAAAAACACAACCGACTTGAAATATCTCGCTCTGTATTCATTTCATAATTGATTTTTACGAGTTCCCTACGTATCTCCGGAGCCCAAGGTCCAATACCAATGAAATAAATATGGGACCAAATGGGAAGCACGAGCTTTCAAATAAAAAAGGACTCGTCAAAATCCGTTCACTCATTCGGAAAGTTCTGAGGTGACAAACATAAAAAAAAAATACAGTCGAGTTGAAAAACTCCTCCGTTTTCGAAGTCGGTTAAAAAAACATAGGCAGTCTCAAAGGGACTGCGAACAGAAGTGAAAACATAAAACAATATCAAAATTGAACTGTATAATATTTGATGTTAGATATTTTATGGGCACCAAGAACGATAATAACAGTATTTATAACCCATAACTGCAAATATATTTCTGCGTGTTCCTTTTTTAAAAATGGCTCACGGAATTCGGTGACTATGACGCGACTTTCATAATTTTTTCACCCAACGCGCCTAAAGAAGTTTTCACATCAAAAGTAATATACCTACACCAGTTATATTATTATAAGACGGTCATAGGTAAATCATGAAGCTATGATAGTACGATTCAAGTTACCTCTCTATACACTAAGTCGATATTTACAAAAATATCGATATCGGCCTCGATATATCGAAGAGAAAATATCGATATTGTAACGCAACGGAACTCTTTGGAACGCGCACTTGAATCCCGTCAACGCGTCTCACGGAACGCGCCGCCATCGCAAGCTCCCACCGCGGACTTGGATACGATGGACCCACCGCCGGGGGTCCCGCCCGATAACACTACACCCACAGCTAGTGTACCAACAAACACAATAGTTCGCCCTCGCCTCCGAGCACGGCGAGACCAACACAACGCGTACACAAGGTACACCCGCGTTCCGGGGCGGTTCTCACCGCCCCCAGCCACCGATTAGCTAATTGCACAGTCGACGGCCATCGGGGTTTCGGTCCGAACCACGACCTCGATGGCCCTTAGATGACACACCATAGTTAAACGCACGCATGAGCACATGCGTGGCCCTACCCACAGCGGAGGGCCCAAACCCGTGGGTTCTGGCTAACCCACCGGTTCTGCGTCAGATGAAGCTTTAATAGTCTCGGGACTGTAAGAAAAAACATCAGTTAATACAAGATACAAGCTCCCACCGCGCCTGCGCGACTAAACCGACGCCGAATACTCCATCTTTTTTGCGGTTGATGTTCGACGCGTACGTTTAAAAAAAACAATTATTAAACTAGACGAACGAATGTTACTGAGTTTGAGTTTTACTCCAAAGCAACCCACGAAATCACCACTCAATAACATTGAAATATATAATTCATTTTTGGGCTGTTCAAAAAATAAACGTGTGCCAACTGTGAAATGTTTGAATGTACGGAATCTAGCCCGGGATTCGAATTTGAAAAGAATTGAATATTTTATATCGATACTACATCAGATCAAAACACATCGGCTAAAAATATCGATAAATCGATATTTTTCGGCATCCCGACTAGAAACATCTTCAGCCGATGGATATTGCGGCCTTTAGCCATTTAAAGATATCGTGGCGGAATCGAATGAAGAGTTGGAAAATGGAATATCCGTAACGGACACTGAAAAGAGAGCATTTCGCTCTTAAATGTTCTGGAAATCTAGACGATCGTAAGAGATGAATTTCATATAAAAAAACACGCCCTACTTGCCTATCCAAAGCGGCTGTAACTGTTTCGATGCGATTCACGCATAAAAAGCACTAGTTTAAATAATCTCCTTAGTAAGATTGACGTTTTTATCACCATTAAGATATTATATAATAATTAAATTCGTCTCCTTCAAAACGGAGAGTCGTCACGTCGCGTCTTAAAATTTAAATAACCCTTTTTAATCACTGTCCCTTAATATAAAATTTCCTATAACATTCTTGTTTTTGATACATAGTCCTTTGTTCTCAAATTCGCACCACGTTAACTCGAACTTTTTTTAAGATGCTTTATATACAGTCATCGTCTACTAAACTTAGTTTTAAAAAAAGATAAGACAGCGGAGTTCCTTGTCGGTCCTTCCCTGGTCATATCTAGTTTAGTGAACCAGTGGTAGTTTTTTGGACTATAATAGCTTAAAATAAGCCTATATTGAACAAAGAAATTTTCACTTTCAGAAACTACCACCGTCCAATGTTATAAAATATATACCTAGTTTCTCACGCCTTAAGAAATCAGCACTAGTCTAGCAGTTGACTTCTTTAGACTATCTTTAGATGTCCAAATCAGCAGCATCTTCGAGATAGAAAGGCATTGTTTTTGGGAATTTCACATCAACAATTCTCCGCTATATTTCCCCACTAATATCACCGCTGAGATTTACACTCCTCAGAGCAAAGGCGTTTGATCGCCATTTATTCTTGGCTGGAACACAGTTCAGATTTGGACCCCGCTCCAAGGACCCTTCGGCTGTTGGACCCCCGCTCCTAGGACCCCGGGCCCTACGTCTCGGGGTTCTTCGTCTCCATGAACTCGACCACCCGCTTGGCGGGCACCACGTTGTGGACCCTCTTCTTGTGCGTGTAGAGGGACGCCTTCTGCTTGAAGGTCTGCTGGCAGATGTCACAGGAGAGCGGCCGCTCCCCCGAGTGGATCACCTCGTGCTGGTTCAGCGCCTTCTTGTCCTGGAAAGAAACGGTTGAAGATGTTAAATAGCATACATGACGCGTGTCCATACTGCGCTACGTTTGAAAATTGTTAAGCATTATATGCCATATTGCCACCTTGTCACATAAAAATATATTTCGGGGCATATTTTATCTAGCAAGCAAGCAAAGCTTGTATTATGGGTACTAGATAACTGATAGTCATACTTTTCTTTTGTAATAAAAACATATATGAACACACAGACACTAGAAAACACTATGTTATTCACACAGTGAGGATCGAACCCGCACCCTCTGTCGCAAGAGACAGATATCAGAGAGATACACTATCAACTATGCCAATTGGGTCTTAACACCAATCTCTTCCTCAGTGGTAATAGTTTTGAATCGTCCATTTCCCTATGAACCTAAGTGGACTCACGGTGAACGCCTTCCCGCACTGCTGGCACACGTGGTTCCTCGGCCGCTCCTTCTTCTCACCGTGGACCCTCATCACGTGCTTCTCCACGTTCGCCCTGGACGCGATGGGCTGCAATGATATAATAGATAAATAAATATCTTTTTCATATATATATCTCAGGACATTTACTCGACGTGAACCTAGTCGCAAACTGTGCAAAGCCTGTACTATGTTTAATATTACTTTTTTTATAAATAAATACATATTAAAATTATATAAACACCGAGACACTAGACAAAACATTGTTCATCACACAATATTTTTTCCAGTAATGGGCCTCAAACCCACACCCTCTGGCGCAAGAGACAAGGTCACTATCCACTACGCCAATTGCGATTAGCACTATTTCCAAATTAAACTACTGTAGTATTTAGCCTATGCCTTCTAAGAAGACATTCACATATGGAAGAGTATGAAATTTTCCACACTTATTTTATATACAGGAGTGTAGAATGCTAATATTACACACACATAACTCTTCTGTTTATTATGTATTGTATTTTAGGATAGATTGATATTGTTCAAACTTGTAATTTAAATTAATTATGGCCTAATGTCGACCACTCGGCGTGCACTGGTTATTATTATTATCTATTTGACAAAAGAGAATTAGGCGGGAGCTCGCCTTGTTGCAGACTGGGCACTTGTGCGAGGTCTTGCCGAGGTGCTGGTAGTTGAAGTGGTCCTGCATCGCCTCCTTGGTGGGGTAGCCCTTGTTGCACATCGGACACGGGAATCTGTGGACATTTTACGGTGGTGGGAAGCAGCCTCGGCTGTTGCACGAATGGGCAGGCATGTCCGGGTAAGTACCACGGTCTCACAGAAGACCAGCGTAAAGTGGAAGTATGACAAATACTTTCGCGTTTAGTCTGGTGAGTGAGGTAGCCGGAGCCCAATTTTCAAAAGGTTGTCAACGCATCTGTAACCCTCGGGTGTAGCAGATGTCCACGGGTGGCGGTATTCACTTACCATCAGGTAAACCGTCTGCTCTTTTGGCAATTTTTCACATAAAAAAAAACATTAAGATGAGCTTGCATGAGGGATTTTTTCCTATTAAAGCACGGGAATAACCGTCGGGCGGTTCACGATACTGAAATGGTGACACCGTCTGTTGCATAGCGGATTACAGGTAATTTTTTTTCATAACGAAAAACAAAACAGACCTCAAGTATGTCGCTCTGTATTCATTTTATAATTGATTTTCAGGACTTCCCCAACTATCTCCGGATCCCACGATCTAATACCAATGAAATTAATATCGGACCACGTGGGAAGCACCGGCTTTTAAATAAAAAAAGAATCATCAAAATCGATTCACTCGGTCGAAAGTTCTGAGGTAACATACATAAAAAAAAATATATACAGTCCAATTGAGAACTTCCTCCTTTTTAAATTGGTTAAAAAAGGTACACAACACACTCAACTGCTCGTGCGCTGTAAACATCCCATCAATAATAATAATAATAATCATTTTATTCCTCACCATAATCAACAAGAGTGGCTATAAACTTAAGATAAATTATAAAATACGATACAAAAATACATGAAAACAGAAATACAAGAATAGATTATGGTGGATTGACACTTGACCTAGGATGAATCCTGTGTCTCAAGTAATCAACCCTCCACCCCGGGTGAACCGCCTATCTTTTTTTAATTGCATAGTGAAATACTATCTACACATATTTGAGGTTCTCTTCTCCACTTGGTAAGACACAAAAGAAAAAAGTAATCAACAATTACAAAACTAAAGCTGTGTACAATGAAATCTGCATAAATTACGTTTGGTCTCTGGTGATATTTTAATTGTTCACAAGCAGAACAATCTAGAACTAAACTCGAGCGATTTGTCGTTTATGTTATGTTTTAACCCTCACAGTATTCTATGGTTACGGGTTTTGTACAAAACTTGTAGGTTTTTGGAAGCTTTTATCTCAGTTCAAAAGTTACCTATACTACATAATAACTACAGTGATAGGTCATTATCGGGGTTCTAATAGCATTTAATGTAATATACTCGAGCGACCAGAGTTCAAAAACCGGTTCCGGTTCTGATGAAATAGTTAATTGAATTGCTTCTTCATTCTGTTGCCCTTGTTCCACACTAGGTGGAGTCGGCACATCATTTCAAAGATTTTTGGCTTTTCAAATGTTATTTAGGTTGCCTAAAGGATGGTCAAACTCTCCAAATTGATGAGATTGATCTTTTTTAGAGATCAGAATGATCAATTCAAATAGTTTAACCATTCTTTTGGCAACCTAAATAATATTTGAATCTACGATGATCAGTGTTTCATAAAACGGGCGTTATTTCATCTATTTAATCTTCATTGCCAACCAACGGGAAATGGGGAACCGGCAACTGGTATCGCTGTAGTAGGGCCACGCAACAGTTTTCACTATTGCACGAATGGGCAGCTCGGTCCTGGTAAGTACCACGACCACACATAAAACCGGCGTAAAGTAGAAGTGTTACTTCTGCGTTTTGTCTGGTGAGCGAGGTAGCCGGGGCCCGCCTTAAAGGTGGCATCGAATTTGCAACATTACGGGTGTTGCAAATGTCCATGGGCGGCGGTTGTCACTTAACATCAGGCGAACCGCCGGCTCGTTTGCCACTTTTTCACACAAAAAAAAAAACTGTGTATCGAACGGGAACCGAACCCGCTATCAGCGGGGCACTCACTTGAACACCTGGTCGGTGGCGTGCGCGCGCGAGTACTTTAGGTGGGCGTGGTAGGTGGTGAGGTGGGAGAAGAGCTTGTTGCAGTCGCTGCACTCGTAGCGGCCGCGGTTCTGGTGCCGCTGCACGTGGTACTTGAGCTGCACCACGCGCACCATCTTGCCGCAGACGGGGCACTCGGCGCGCGGCGGCGGGCCCTCGTGCAGCCTGCGCCAGGAGGGGGGCGTTGTTAGTTGGCTGGTCGTCATGGCAACAGTATTGGTTGGATGGCCAATAGTGTGCCGCGACGGCGCCAGTTGCCATGGAGACGGAGCCTGTGTCGCCATGGCGACAGGCGTATACTCCAAGAGGGTGAACGGCGTTGCCATGACGACGCACGCTTGCTCCTACTGTTATCTGCAGGCCACCTCGGAGCGCATATAAATGAATAACCCACGCTCAATCGGTTTCCATATCGAAGGCTAAGCATATCCTTTTAACTAGGCCAAGTAATTTATGAAGAAATAAACATTGCCTTTTTTTTTTGGACCGTAGTCATTTAACTGAAAATATTCAATTAAATATTAATTATAAAATAGTTAACAATTTATTAACAAATAAATGCCAAACTTGAAAAACAATGTCCGGAGAAGTATCACGACCTCACAGACGACCTGCGTGAAGTGGAAGTGTTACAGCTCTGCGTTTCGTCTGGTGAGTGAGGTTGTGAGTGACGTCTGCAACCGTTGCAAATGTCCATGGGCGGCGGTCATCGCTTAACATCAGGTGAACCGCCAGCATCGCTTGCCGCATTGTCGTATTAAAAAGCTACGGTGAAAACCGTGGTGTAGGGAGTGTATAAGGCCAACGAAGGAGCACCTCAAATGGGTGGCCAACGTGGTCCTGTTGACGAATCGCTTCTTGCAGTGGTCGCACTGCAAACCCTCGCGGTGGTAGCGCGCCACGTGGTTTTTGCGCGCGCGCGAATTCCTGAAATGACACGAAAAACGCTCAGCAATCATATATATAGCCCTCGAAATGTTCAAGATAATAACCATTATATTTTGAAGATATACTTGTTTTGGCTCGGTTGCGAATTTTTACGATACCCGACTTCATGGTCTTACCAATAACAATTTTTTTTACATTTACCTATAGTTCCAAGTTATTTATTTAAACCATTTTCGATTGTTATTAGCATAAAAAAAGTACTGTCACGGGGGATAAATGTTTGTTATTTTTCTTTTGTTACGCTAAAGAAGTATAACTTTTTACGTGCGTACTTAAGTAGACACACACTTTCTTTGATTCTTGACACAAAAGGGATTTTATTTAAGTAATTCAATTAAAAAAAAAAAACTTTTTTCTGTTTTTTGATGTTATTTCTTTGGGGTAGGCATAATACTGACTTAATAGTTTCAATATTAATGACAAAATTTTTTTTTGCCTCTGATGATATTATGCTGAGAAGTGGACCGCTTAGTTTGGTGGCTAGAGCGTCTGGACGCGTAATCCGGTTGGCGTAGGTTCGAATCTTGCCACGGGCGAAACAAAATGTTGCGACAGTCTTATCTAAACTGTTTTATGTGATATATTATGTTTGTTTGTCAATCTCACTTGAAGAACATGTCACATTCCAAGCACTTGTAGCCAACAATCGTTGTCTTGGACAGTAGCTTCCTGAGATCCTGGGTTCCAGGATTAGGTGTCTCGGCTTCCTCTTTCTTCTTCTTTCTGCGGCCCTGGTGAACAAAGAAAATGTTGAGATACATAAAATAATTGAGCCGTGATAGCTCAGTGTCCGGGCGCTCGCCTTTAATTCAATTTACTCGAGTAACCTGAGTTCGATTTCTGGTGCCAGCACCAATGAAATTGTTAATTTTAAATGTTAACGTTTATACACATGAAAACATAAAAATAGGTTTTGCATTAAAAGTCGATACTGTGCAAAATAATCGTAAAAAAAAAACACGATTCGAAAAAAAAAAAAGATGTCGTGGAAAGCACGACCACCCGAGTACCGTGGAGTCAAAAGCTGACACCTGTCACCTAATACAGGTACCAGATTGGGGACACCTTGGCGAAAGGGTTGACAGGGGGAAAGAGACACCTTTTCAGGTTCGGTCCTCATCATCGATGCGGCACTGATAAAGCGACTAGAAGGGATGAGGAGGGGAATGGTAGAAAAAGAAAGAGAGGCACCTTTTCGGGTGCGGCCTCGCCCATGGGGCACTAGTAGCGCGTGGAAAAGGGATGAAGCGCGGGTAGAGAGCGAGAGAGTGAGAGAGGGGCACCTTCTCGGGCAAGCGTCACCAATGCGGCACTGATAGCGCAATGGGAAAGGATGAGGGGGGCGGGGATGACAGACGGACAAAGAGAGGGAGAGAGAGAGAGGCACCTTCTCGGGCGCGGCGTCGCTGATGCGGCTCTTGTAGGGCGTTCGAAAAGAGAGAGAGAGAGAGAGAGAGAGAGAGAGAGAGAGAGGCACCTCGGGCGCGGCATCGCCGATTCGGCTCTTGTAGGGCGATCCAAAATGAGGGGGAGAGGGAGAGGCAGAGAGAGTGAGAGAGAGAGAGTGGCACCTTGTCGGGCGCGGCGTCGCCGATGCGTATGAGCGCCGCGGGCTGGCGGCGCTGCCGGTGCGCGTCGGCGTGCGCGCGCGCCAGGGCGGCGCTGGCCTCGGCGCGGCCGCAGAGCCGGCACACGTGGCGCGCGTAGTGGGCGCGCGCGTGCGAGGCGAGCCGCGCCTCCGGCACGTACGCGAAGCACACCTTGCACGGGGCGGCGCCGTCGCGCTGCCAACGCCGTTATTATTATTTAGACAGAGGATGCGATTCAAAATCAAAATCATTTTTACATACACAATTACCGCAATCCACATAAGAAAAATACATTTCTTATTTAACGATACTCATTTATTTTAATCTACCACCGTTCAGTTACGGGGTTCCTCTAACAGAGATGAAACAGACGAAAGAAACTCCGTGTGGAAACACAATTAAAACATTGTATTTAGTGTTTATTTTTTTCTTTTAGAAATGGCTAGGGAGCGATCAACTCATTCACAGGGATTATTACAGTTGACTATCGACAGATGAAATCTATGTTTCTTATGTCAATGTATAAATGATTTTGATTTTTGATTTTGATCTGTGCAGGCCTTTATCCAGCAGTGGGGCATATATGGACTACCACGTTACATCCCCACTCAACCTCGGTGTTCTGAGAGACCCTGGAAAAGGCTGCCCACTCTTGCAGCAGACGAAACAGCCACACGACCACGTGATAGGACGTTTGGCACGTCTGTCACGTTTCGAACCTTTCAACCTTTTTTTTTTTTGTGAAAAGTTGCAGGCGGGTCAACTGATGTTCAGTGAATACCGCCGCGCATGGACATCTGCAACACCCGAGGGTTGCAGATGCGTTGACAGCCTTTTGAAAATTGGGCTCCAGCCACCTCGCTCACCAAACGAAACGCGAAAGTATTCATTATACTTCCACTTCACGCTTATCTTCTGTGATGTCATGATACTTACCCGGACGAGCCTGCCCATTCGTGCAACAGCCGTGGCTGCCGCGTGGCCCTACCACAGCTGGCAGACTTGGCAGACTTACGGCCTTGTGCACGGTGACGTAGTGCTCCTCCACCTGCTGCTGGTTATAGAAGCCCAGGATGCAGAGTTCGCACTTGTAGACGGCGCTGGCGTACTGGACCTTCTGCTTGGCCTCCTCCCTGAAACGCGGCCACACCTGTGTCGTCAGCATTCGCAGATGTGCGATAGGCTCGTCGCCTGTCATCTGGGCATTGAGCTCTATCCAAGCAGACAAATGGTACTGGTCCGCAAATAAGACGAAGAACATCTACATCTATATGTATAGATAAGCCGATTGGCGTGGGGAGTAGTGAGCCTGACCCTTGCGCCAGAGGGTGAGGGTTCGATCCCCACAAGTGGAAAAATATGATGTGATGAACATAGTGTTTTCCAGTGTCTGGATGCTTAAATATGAATAATATGTATTCATTTACAAAAGAAAAGTATATTTAAGTATGTTTATCAGTTTTCTAGTACCCATAGTACAAGCTATGCGTAGTTTGGGACTAGAGAAAGTTGTGTAAAAATGTGTCTGAAATAATTATTTATTTACTTACTGCTGTCTGGGTACATTCAGACAGGAAGACAGATATACATAAAAATATGTATATAAATTATAGCCATGCGTTATTCAGATGTATAAGCTATGATATTGTAAAGTTTCATTAGAATCCATTCAGTAGTATTTGCGTGAAAGAGTAACAAACATCCATCCGTAAGTTAAGTAAAGAAGTAAGTATATAAAAAAGAATGTACTCCGACCCACCTGAACGCAAGCATCTCATCCTCGTTCATGTACTCCGTAATATATCCAGCCTTCAAGTCGGGCCTCTCCTCGTCCGACTCAAGAATAACGGTGCCCTGCTGCAGCACCAGGTCCATGCTGTTCTCCGCCACGGTCCTGGAACCAAGTATAGGACCATGCAAACTCCATCTCTTCCGATGATTCCTCTCGTATTCAAATACTGGAACTTGGCCCACTACGTCGTCCACGAAAATTGTTATAGCTCGGCTAATTTGCATGATATAAATATAATTAATATAGGGTGTTTTTGTAGCCCAAGTACATACTTTGAAATAATGTTAATTGAGCATCCCATAATTTAAAAAAAATATTAATATTTATTTTGACAAGAAATTACCAGAAAAATATCAATTCAAACATTATTTGTTTATCCCGTTAAAGAGTGGTCACCCTATTGATAAGCGGTTCAGTACTTATGCTTTCAGCAAAATGTTTTGCTGTTCGTGAATAGGTTATTGCATTGAGACGGTAAGGCAGAAAATTCTTAAGGTGTCCATAATGTTAGAAAATATTAAAAATAATCTTTGAAAAAACAAAAGGAGGTCGCAATACTTAAACCTTCTCCGAAACAAGCTGCATCTTATGGCACAAGTATTATTCCGATCGGTTCAGGAAACACTGGCTCTTCATTTATAAGTACAGATAAACTATGTCACTAGCGGGTAATATGACTATTTAGACTTGGCAGCGGCTTTGACTAAACTCGTAAGCGCGGTATCGTTTCACTAACCGGACACATACCTGACTGTGATGTCCGGCACCACGTAAGCATCGCCTTCCTTTAACGTTCCCTGGTTCACTAAGGGCTCGGCGTTTATCACGATGTGGGGCGACACCACGGTCGAGGGGCTCTCAAGGACTATACCTGGAACCGCAAGTATTCAAAACTGCACAAACATTAACAATGCACGTATAACAGTAAATGTTTTCTAATTACTATAAGTTTACAAACTAAATCACCTGTATGTTATTGTATATTTCGCTTAGGTAGGTTAATTTATTTCTGGGGGTCAATTTTAGCACCTCGCCTGTGCGGTACGGTGAGAAACTAAGCACTAAGTTTCTAAATTTGAATGTGGCTTCGCTAAAATTATATAAGCGATATAAGGAGCAACATTTATAGAGAAGGATAAATTTAAATATAATTTTATTATTTCATTAGTAGCATTTGTAATTTCATCACATTTGCATTAGGCTCTCACTCTTTATAAAGCTGTTAAAGACCCATATAACATATATACTGGTGCATGTTTTCTCACATTATTACCTCACTCGCCAGACGAAACAAGAAAATATAATACTCCCACTTCACAGCCTTATCTCACTCCACTGTACTTCCCCGCATGAACTTGCATATTTGTGCAAAGCTCAAGCTACCGCCTGGTCCTACCACAATTCAAATACTCTTAAACTGACCTCAAAAAAAGGGGAAACTCAATTTAGTAGTATATTTTTTAAACAGGTTTTTTTACATCTAAACTCCTTTATGACCCGATTTCAAATATTCTTTTTGCATTGAGTTCAATTTAACTCCCATGTGGTAATATTAATTTCATTGGTACTCGACCTTGGATGCTGGAGATACATCAAGAACTCCTCAAAAATAGACGGAAAATGTATCGTGAGTGAGGTATTTGAAATGTGTTTTTTTTAGTTTCTATTTTTTTTTAAATATACTTGTCTTCTGTTATCAAGCAAGAAAGAGGAGCGATATCAACGATAAGACTGGACTCTTTAATACCACGACCTCACAGAAGACCGGCGTGAAGTGGAAGTATAACAAATACTCTCGCGTTTCGTCTGGTGAGTGAGGTAGCCGGAGCCCAATTTAAAAAAGTTTGTCAACGTATCTGCAACCCACGCGTGAAGCAAATGCGTCCATGGGCGGCGGTTACTTAACATCAGGCGAACCGCCTGCTAGCTTGGCAACTTTTCACATAAAAAAAAAATCTCACCGCTAAGGAGGTTCTCGTCCAGCTCCAAATTGATGTTCTCCTTCACTATGTGCGCTATGTCGTACTTCTCGTCTTTTATGTTGTCTGTGGTGCTGATAGCTATGTAGCGTGTAGGCCACTCTGCGTCCGCCTTGGACGTGCAGTCGAAGTAGATCTTGTCGTAGCCCTGGTTGATGGTCGACTCCAGGGTCGACAGCGACTGCGAGAGGTACGTGTGGTCGGTCGTCTGGAAACCGATTTACCAAGACATTAGCTTTTCTGTGCGGGGGGGTGGGAGGGGAAGGCTGTAAGTAAATACCCCTTCCTGCCCATAATATACCTAGCGGCCTAGATGCAAAAACTCCGTGGCGTTGTTTCCAAGGCACTGGCTTCAGCGTCGGGGGTCGTCGGTTCGATTCTCGCTCGTGACACAATGTGTGCGACCCACAGACAATTGTTTCGCATCTGGGTGTAAGTCCACGTGAAATATGTGTTTGTTAAACGTCCTGACAACGCAGGATAATGTTATCCTGAAGGGCGATGTAAAAAAAAAGAAAGAAAATAAAAACATCAATTAAAATAAGTCTTTCCAACTGCCTTATATCCGTTATATGGGTCTTAGCAAAAAGAAAAACAATATTTAAAATAGATTATTTATTCATTAAACACTAATGCCTGTTATACTGACAGCTATTAAAGACTACTATTTGGAACTGGCGATAGATCGAGACTGAGGTTTACTCATGAAAACTAATACTATCATCCGCTAAAGGAATTGCTGATGGTGCGGTAAGTATCAAGGGGCACCATACATAGCACAGGATACAGCAGACTTAAATGAATTCAAGGAATCTGAATTGGAAGCAAACTAAGGTCAAGCTAACCTTTTTACAATACCGGTTAAAAATTTTAAAATAACAATGTAAGAACCAAGTTCACCTCTTGGGAACTGCTCAAACTGAGGACCCTGAAGTGCTCCTGTGCTGCATGGACCCTCTTCTTGAATTTATTGAACCTCTTCAGTAATGCAGCGCACTCCCAACAAACAAAGAGACTTTGTTCAGCCAATGAATCACCAAACTGAAACAAAAAAAGTTTCCAAATCAATGAAGCAATAGCTAAATGTTGCATATGTGACCACAGATTATTAACTAGACAGCGATGAAGAGCTTCTTTCCAATTTTTCTTCAACACTTCTTCCTGTTTACATTGGTGGCTCAGTGTCTGGGCACCCGGCTTTAATTCAATATACAATATACGAGCATCCCTGAGTTCAATCCCCAGTGCCGGCAACAATGAAATTTTTATTTCTAAGGGCTGACTTATGACGTGCTCCGCAGTGAATAAAAACATTGTGAGGAAACCTGCATATTTTCGAAATAATAACAAAAAAAATATTTCGAAGATATGTGAAGTCCACCAATCCACAGTACGGTCTCATGGTGGACTATGACCTGATACCCACTGTATAGAGGAGACCTTTGCCCAGCAGTGGGACACATGTAGACTGTTACTTTTACCTTGGCGGGGCTCTGTTACACATGTTGGATAATAGTAGTATAATCTATTGTTTGTTGTCAGACCAAACACTTCCCTGCTAGCAGAAACAATCCACATTGGATCATCAGCAAATACACAACCAAGACATTGGCACAGCACCCTTATTTTTATAAACATTGTTGTTGTCACAAAAATAAATTATATTTATTTAACACAATACATGTTATGAGTTTTATTTTTTGAAAATTTTGGTGCCTCTTAGCGTGAGTTAGGTTTGATGTGGTTAGTTACTAATATAGTGATATTTAACAGGTTTTTAATTATTTCAAGATTTAAAAATGTATTTTTCTTTCATTACAGTTGTTTTTTTATAAATCATTTTTAGTGTTTATGTAGCATTACATATGTATGCATATAAGGGATCTCTACAAACATTCTCTTATTATTTGGTTTTTTCATATAGATTTCTTTTTCGAGGTAATAAAGAATGCTATCTAAAATAGAATGTAATTAAGTTGTCCATGAACGAATTAATTATAATAGTACCTACGTGAAATTATTAACATAAAACTATAAAATTTAAATGAAGCAAGAATATAAAATAAATAATACAGAGTGCGTAAACCGATCCAGGAAGTTTGCTTTGCATAGTAATCGGTGATAGAACTAAAATGAACACGACAAAAATAGAAATAATTAGCTTAAACTACTATCACTAAAAAGTTTATACACGTTTGTAGACTTTTAAATACTCACCCTGTCGCCCGCGAAATCATACATAAGTAGACGGAACATTTGATAAATTTCCGATTGTTCGTTTAATAACATTAAATCGCGATCTGAACACAGGCAAGTACTGCAGATTTTACGGTAAACATTATCCACGTCCTGTTCCATTTTTAAGTGTATTAAATGAGGTTTTTTAGGATTTTTAAAAAAGTAAACAATGCGAAATAATTTTCAAATCATAACAAAAAGTAATACTCCCATGTAAAATAGACGAAAATTGATGAGCAACTTTCAATAGCACTACGACACTACAAAATGGCTGCTTAGCTGCTTTTGAGGGTTGCAAACAAAAAAAACAAGTGACAAGTCGGTTTCAAATAAAATGATACCGATAGAAATCATAAATATATTCGTTAATATTCCTTTATGTTTTAAAGGATATTTCTCGCAATTTTATAAAACTATTTATTCGATTCTGTTCGGTTCAATAAGCCTGAAACCTGAAATTAAGTCATAAATAACATGCATCTCAGCATCTTTAATTATCTAGATTCACAAATAGCCAAACGATAGCCCTCGTTTGTTTTGTTGTAAAAATATTTTTCAAATATGGCTGTCTTCCACTTATTGATTGATAAAATTGCTATTATTGAAGTCTTAATGATGAAACGGGTGCGACTGCCCCCTCGCTGCCGTACGAGACCCCTTACTTCTTGAGCTCCTATAACTCAGTCTCCTTTCCTTTTCTACACTCACTTTTAATTTTCTTCTTTTAGGGAGCCTATTGTAGGCCGCATTTCGATTTTCTTTTCGTGTGATACGTCACAGTATGATGACTCTGTGGGTTAGTTGCCAAAGTATTGGCTTCGGAAAATATAATAAATCCAATTCACTGACTCCGGTCTATAATGAACCTGTGGCTCTTCCCCAGAGTCAACTCAAGTGTCATCAGTCGGCTTGAATGCATGTAAAGAGAATTAAAAGTTATTTTAAACATGCATGTCACCCATGGCATTGGAAATTCAATATTTCTTCTCTCGTTAAAATATTCTCCATGTAGTGGGGGGACGTTTTTCACTGTGATGGATAGACAGGCAAGTCAATGGATGCAGTTGACTCGGTATCGTATGGAAAAAGAGCAGACAAGCAACAAACGAGAATGTTCTTAATATACTTAGTCTCTTCTGATCTGGAGATTCTGAATTTCTCTTCTTCAAAACTGGAGATCGTATGTCAGCGACGTTCAACCCACCGTGAAGTCGTGAAACGCCAGCGTTCAGCTAATAAAATCTCGTGTATTTGTCGCGCTATTCCTCTTATAGTATAGTTATGATAAGCAGAATCCATTTTAAGCAAAAAAAAAGGACTGTAATTAAAGACTCGTATGTCAGCGATGAACGAATAGGAAACGTATCTTTTTACTAGAAGAAACGTTTCCGAATGTTAACTGTTAATCTGTCTCATAACTCTTTCGTTCTTTCTTACATCTACCTACACCCAAATCCGAAGACCGAATAGAGCTAACTAATAGAAAGAATTAGTTCACTGTCCGAAATGAACTAGTTCAGAGCACTCTTCTAAATGTCTGAGCAGGCACAAAACTAACAATAAAATGTTATTCGACCGTTTCCGACCTTAGGGATAAAAAAGCTTGTCCTTCTAATAGTTATAATTTTGATTTGCAAATCTACAAAAAGGGGTAATTTGTACAAGTGTGATGACAACTGTTATTCCTCTATAAAAATATTTAATAACTTTATCTATATACCTATTTTAAAAATATTAAAATAAAGTATCCTTTTTAACAATACCGCAATCATTCTAAACTTAAGTATTTGCCGAAAAACTTAAAAAATATTAGCTAGAAACCAAAAATTGTTTTCTCCGTCTACGCCATACGAATGTCGGAAATATCGATATATCGACATTTTTGATTTTGTATATCGATATTTTTAGATCCGATATATCGATACAAAACATCTGAATAGTACACAAATTTAATATTTTTTCAAATCCGGCACAGAGTCCGTAGATGGCTAAACCTTTACTTTTGGGCAACGGAAATATTGATATTTTCTTTTCGATATATCGTGGCCAATATCAATTCTTAACAATACTTCACTTTCGACATCCCTACGTGATGCGGCTTTGCAAGCACTCTTCTCGTGGCCGCCATCTTTCTCTTGTTAGTCATTCTCTCACTGCTGAGGATCGTGACTCATATTGAATTGGTCAACGAACTGTTTTTAGAAATTTGTTCCGCCCACCGAATTACGGCCTGTAGGTCCTTTACCCCTCGATTATCCCCGTCACTATAATCGCTCAAAGTTGTCTGCTCCTCCCCGTGCAATATGGATGCGTGGCCGCCATCTAAGGCCACTTAAAAACGGAGTTTGAAAATTAAACAAATATTTTTTAGGAGTAACATTTTAATGGCAACTTAACTTACACAATGCTCATTGTGCTAGTATACTTGTGATTTCAGTTCAGATATACCTATGATAAGATATTTTTATATTATGTAAGCTGCAAGCTAATAAATATAAAATTACAGGACTAGGATAATTGCAGGGCTTATTTTTTTATATTGATACAGTTTACGAATTTGATTAAAATTTACATAAATATATTACATTACGGTATCACTATTTTAAACCATCGAAGTTACACTTTAGCGCGCGATTTTAACTGAACCACGCCTTTATTAAACTAAATTACGTAGTGGAATGCGGAATAAAGTAGAACTCCAAAGAGTACAACGGGCAACCCACACTGAGCACGCACAAATGTCCTACCCTACAGTGACCAGCCGGCTTATAAAAGTTAAGTGAGGGGAGTTAGAGACGCGTTCTGTGACGTCATCAGTGCACTTGCAAGATGCAGGTGTTATCTGTGCGTAACGGCAAAAACGGAGATCCCGTCACATACATTATATTTATACAGTCTCAGATATTACGTCAATTTCTGTCCTGATCATTCCGAAAATTCAATCGACACATGAAATCAGAACAACCATGGATGTTTTTTTTATGTGAGAAGGTGGCAACCGAACTGGCGGTTCACCTGATGTTAAGTGGTAACCGCCGCTCATGGACATTTGCAGGGTTGCAGATGCGTTGCCACCTTTTAACAAAGCGGGCCCCGGGTACCTAATATACCAGACGAAACAAAGAGGTATAACATTTCCAACTCACGCCGGTCTTCTATAGAGATCGTGGTACTTCCCCGGACATAATAATAATTTAAAAAACACTTTGAGAAGCCTTCTATCTCATTATCTCGCACGTTATACCGTAATGTCTCTTTTCACCGTGGCTTTTGTCTCGTCGAGTTTCAAATCACAACGATGCCAATAAATATTTTTAAATATTAAATAATAAATATTATTTTAGGTCACATTTTTACACAACGTTCTCTAGTATCAAACCAAGCAACGCTTGTCCTATGGGTACTACATAAGTGATAAACATACTTAATTATACTTTTCCCTGCCCACATCACTGATATTATTTTTTTTAAGATTCGTCAATAAACACTTTTAAAGCCTTCTATCTCATCCTCTCGCACGTTATACAGTATTGTCTCTTTTGTCAAAGAAATTCGCTTGGAAAATGCCCAAGGGGAGATTTTATTTCGGCGCTTTGGCGTTTGGCCTACGCTTTGTGGTAGGAACGGAAGCAGCCCTCGATGCATAGGTTCACCTGGCATTGTCTGCACTTCCATATTGTCCGGCTTTGTATCTTCAGCTGGTAGCATAGCCAGCACCGGGTCTTCTTGGAGCCAGTCCGGATGGGGAAGTGGTCTTCCTCCACGATACACCTGTTGCCGCTCTTCCTCTTCGTCAGCGACGGCATCGTAATCGAGGCGAGGTCGATTTTTCTGTGCGCCTTCAACAAGTCCTCCGCCAACGATGTCCTGAAGCGTCTGTGAGATATATTCGGATTTTTCGCGGTGTAAATGATGTAGCTGTTAAATATCGCGGCGTTGTACAGACGGCGAAACAGTTTCTTGTAACACGCGACGTTCTCGCCGCGCTCTACCGGGTGAGCGGACAGAAACTGGTCCTTCCTCTCCAATCCCCCCATCGCCTTGTTGTACTCCAGCACAATGTTGGGTTTGCAATTGGGCCTGTGCTTAGGTGCGGCGCCGGCCCGCGGCGGATGGTACGTCGAAATCATGCCAACCAAGTTGGCGTCACGCCACACCATTACCGACAGGTCGGAGCAGTAGCTCGCAACTGTTTCACCCTGTTTAAGGTCCGTCTCCGTTAGGCTCTTCAGTGAGTCCGGAACGAACTCGCGGTTCAGCCGCAACGTGCCGTAAACGTCGGTCTTCTGTCGTTTCAGACAACGCGCTAATAACGGACTGTTATAGCGGTTGTCCGTTATCAGGGTGTGTCCGCGGTAAAGCAGCGGTTCGACTAGCTTGTACACGACTAGTGCTGGCGCGTCGATCGGTCTTACATCACCGTTGTCAATAACGAGTTTTGTAGATGGCGTTGCGATATCGGATCCTTCGTTATAGTCGATTGGGTATTCTGTCGTTTCACCGGTCCGTTCTTTTTTACCAGCGTACACTGAAAATCTCCAGACGTAGCCGGTCGAACACTCGCACAGTTCGCACGCCCTCATGCCCACCCTCGGGGCCGTCGACGGCCCGCTCGATATCCGCCGAGAGGGGCCCAGTCTCCCCTGCCACTTCAGTAGTGACTCGTCCACTACCACCTCCCTCGACGGATAGTACAGGCCGGAGAACTTCCCGTTGAAATAGTCGACCACCGGTTTGACCTTCCACAGTTCGGACGCCGTGTCGGCCGCTTCGCTGGCGGCGAAGTGCAGCGTCGTCTTCAGCAGCAGAAATCTTTTGTACGACATTATCGCGCGGAAGTACGGCATGGTGCCGAAGCCGTTGTGCTTGAAGTAGCGCTCCTGCTCGGGTATGTGGTAGAGCCCCTGCAGGATCAATGTTGCCAGGAACGTTATCATTTCGTCCCTGTCGGTAGGCACCCACCGGTGAAGGAGGATGTTGGGCGTGAGCTTCCCCTGCGATCGCAGCAGCTCCATCCTCTGGCTCGCGTGGGAATTCGTCTCCGCGCACAGCATGTCGACGAACTCGACGTCGAACATTTTGTAGAACACGTCGAGGATCGAATCCGTCACGTCGAAGGTGGGTCCCGGTGTTCCCGTGAAGGTCTCCCGCCTCCCCTGGAATGCGCTCTCCTCTTTGCGCCAGGGGAAATCGAACGCGTTCTCTGGCGCGATACTTCGCAAGGCACTGTCGTTTATTGCGTCCTCGCTTTCCAGAATGTCTCCTTCGAAGGCCGTATAGTCGGCCATAGAGGCGGGCTCGTCTTGCGTTGTATGTGGAGGGTCAAAGTCTGTCTCGTCTGTCTCGTAAGTCTCGTCAGCGCACAAGCCATTCTCGCTCTCATTCTCGTCTATCGTCCCTTCGAAACTCGGGTCGTGTGCCCCTGTAACAATAAATTACGATATTTTTTTTTTATATTCGCTTAGCCCGAATACCTGTCATCTACTTGACACCGTGACAAGAGTTGACTGGTCGAGAATGTTATACTAAGTTAAGAATGTTATACGAATCTTATACTAAGACGCTAGATTCGGGCTCCACCTTTTCAACCGATTTCAAAAAAGGAGGTTCTCAATTCGACTGCATTCTTTTTATGTTTGTCAGAACTTTCTATTGAGGGAACCGACTTTGATGATTCTTTTTCGTATTTGAAAGCTGGGGCTTCCCATGTGGTCCCATATTAATTTCATTGGTACTGGAATTAGGGCTCCGGAGCTAGTTAGGGAACTCCTGAAAATCAATTATAAAATGAATACAGAGCGAGATATTTCAAGTCGGTTTTGTTTTTTGTTAATGAAAAAATGGACTTGTTTTGTTCACTCTAGGGTTGGGGACCACAAGACCACATGGAAGAGGGGATCCTCTGTTTCGGATCTTTGTGATTTTTTTTATAGTTCTCAATATCGAAGTATTAGCCTGCTAAAATTTTACCGATGGACCAGCGAAGTGAGCGGGGGATAGATAGTTCAATTTTGTAGTCTAACGTTTACCAATGACAATGCGTTTCCTAGTTTTCGGTGTACTGACGAGCTGTACTTCGGCACCAACCGCAACCGCCATTCCTGTATTTTCGAAATAATAATATTTCAAAGATATGTGAAGTCCGCCAATCCGCAGTGGGGCCGCATGGTGGACTATGCCCTGATACCCTATGTACAGAGGTCTTTGCCCAGCATTGGGACATGTATAGGCTGATGCGTTACTTTACTTTTTTTTCTTTTTACCGTGTGTGCGTGCGTGTAAGAATTGTGAAAATACCAGACAAAAGTGTGTGTGCTCAGTAGTGTGGTGGGTTGTGTGCGTATGTGTGAGTATCTATGAAATCTGTACAGATAATGAGGAGGATATAAGACGATGACACAAAATCCCCGATGACCCGGTTGCGCCCTTGCTAGGCTATTGGCTTCGGCGTCGGGGGCCGTGGGTTCGATTCCCACACGGGACAAGTATTTGTGCGACCCACAGATAATTGTTCCGTATCTGGGCGTTTGTTTCGCAACGAGGGTTGACGTCAGGTAGGTAGCCGGTCGTAGACAATGTATAATATTCGCGTAAAAATGAAATTTTTTTTTCGGGACATATTTTCACACGATATTTAGTCCCAAGCTACTATGGATACCAGGTTACTGATAAACATACTTAAACGTACTTTTGTTATGTAAATAAATCCATATTAGATATATTAACACACCACTGACCAGACCAGACACTCGATACACTACGTTCATCACAAAATACCTTTCCAGTAGTGGGGATCGAACCCACAGCCTCTGGCGCAAGAGACAGGGTCATCAGTTACGCCAATTGGTTGGCCGTTGATTCGTTTTGATGAGAGTAGGGCGGCTAGGGTTATCGACGATCAATGTCTTTCCGATCGGCTTGATCCTCTGGCTCTGCGTAGAGATGTTGGATCACTCTGCATCTTCTACCGCATTTATCACGGGGAGTGTTCTGAGGAATTGTTCGGATTGATACCGGCGGCTGAATTCCACCATCGGACATCGCGCCAGAACCAAAAATTTCACCCGCACCACCTCGATGTCCAGCGTTCCACAACAGCGCGATTTTTAAGGCATTTCTTGCCTCGCACAACCACTCTGTGGAACCAACTGCCGCCGGCTGTCTTTCCGAACCGTTACGACCTGGGAACCTTCAAAAAGGGAGCGTACTCTTTCTTAAAAGGCCGGCAACGCATTTGCGAGCCCTCGGGTGTTGCAGGTGTTCATGGGCGGCGGTAATCACTTACCATCAGGTGGAGCCTCCTGCTCGTTTGCCCCTTTTCTCCATAAAAAAAAAAAAAGTAGGGTATTAAAAAATGTAGAAAAAGTGAGTAGGGTAGTCGAAAAAATATCGTTTTTTTTTTCTATATATCGATACATATTCAATAACGAAAATCGTGTCAAAACGATATTTTTTCTAATTCGAATCCGGCACACAGTGTGCCGGATTCGAATTTGAAAAAGTGGGTGTCAAACATTTAATACTTGACATACCTTTATTTTTGGAAAAAGGGGTTTCCAGGACCAATATCCGATATATCGATATTTTCTCATCGATATATCGAGGTCGATATCGACGTTTTCATAAATATCGATGTATTTAGTCACTTCGATATCCCCGACTCGTAGCACTAACCCGCGCAGACGAAGTCGAGGGCATAAGCCGGTATTCTTATATAAATAACTAGCGACCCGCCCCGGCTTTACACGGGTGCAATGTATTATACATACAAACCTTCCGTTTGAATCACTCTATCTAGGATAATGAAACCGCACCAAGATCCGTTGCGTAGTTTTAAAGATCTAAGCATACATAGGGACAGACAGACAGCGGGACGACTTTGTTTTATACTATGTAGTGGTGAAGAACATACGTACCGCTAGTTTGTTCTACCTCCTTCTTTATCGCAAAGGACCCCGATTCGGCCACTGAAGAAGGATCTGCCCCGGGCATATAGCAGCAGGGCTCCCGCTCTGGAGATGGCTTTCTGGATTAATAAATAATAAATATAATAAATATTTTTAGGACACAGGCCTTTGCCCAGCAGTGGGACATGTATAGGCCGTTACTTTACTTTTTACTTTTAGGGCCACGCTTCAGCCTCGGGGCACGAATGGGCAGGCCCGTCCGGGTAAGTACCACGACCTCGCAGAAGACCGGCGTAAAGTGGAAGTATATTAAATACTTTCGCGTTTGGTCTGGTGAGTGAGGTGGGAGGAGCCCAATTATCAAAAGGCTGCCAACGCATCTGCAACCCTCGGGTGTAGCAGATGTCCACGGGCGGCGGTATTCACTTAACATCAGGTGAACCGCCCGCTCGCTTGGCAACTTTTAACAAAAAAAAAGAGTGTGACACTGATGCAAATGCATCTCATCAAATGTTGAATTTTACCAGCTATCTTCATTAAGTTAGCAGGTAAAATTATAAAGTTATATTTAAATTTATCCTTTCCTATAAATGCTACTCCCCATATCGTTTATAATATGATAATATGTTTATATATGAACAGCCACATTGAAATTTAGAAACTTAGTGGTTCCGTCGCAGAGGCGCGGTGCTACAACCGACCCCAAGACACCAGAAATAAATTAACCATTCTAAAAAGCAAAAAAAAAACTACGGGCGGCGGTATTCACTTAACATCAGGTGAACCGTCTGCTCGCTTGGCAACTTTTCACATAAATAAATAAATAAACAAAGGATCTAGCCTTGTGCAGCGCTTCCTAGGGGGGGCGTCTGGATGCAGCAGCCCGTTTGTTTCCACCGCCCTCTTTTTAAGTGGCAACTCTTGCTTCACGGAATGCGAGAACACGGCAACTTTGCTCTGCCTCGCTTGCCTTTCGGCCCGGGTTTCGCTTAGCGTGTTACTGGAAACAAGCAATTTTTTTTTATTAACGAAAGACAAAACCGACTTGCAAATACCTCGCTCTGTATTCATTTTATAATTTACTAGCTGCTGCCCGCGACTACGTCCGCGTAGAACAGGCTGAAGGCGTAACATTCAGACCGAAAGACAGATATACATAAAAGTATGTATATATAAATTATAGCCTATGTCTAATTCTGATGTATAAGCTATATTATTGTTAAGTTTCATCAAAATCCGTTCAGTTGTATTTGCGTGAAAGAGCAACAAACATCCATCCATACATGCAAACTTAACTGGTTCACGAGTACAACTGTTCAAGAGATACAGCCTCGTGACAGACGGACAATGGAGTTTTAGTAACCGTTTTACCCTTTGAGTACGGAACCCTAAAAACAAGTGTGCTTTAGACCATGCCTCGTCCGAATTATCTTTGTAAAAAATTGTTTGTTTTGGAAAATTTAATAACTCGGTAAATATTGATGTTTAAGGAATGTAAATTTTTAATACAATTTTAAAAAATTATCCTCTATATGTGTGTTCATTTATTGTCGCGATTGTAAAGACACGCTGTAAATCTTTTGCTTATTGTGTATTGTATTTGAGATAAGATTAATATTGTTCAGACTTATAGTTTAAATTAATTATGCTCGAACTTCGACCACTCGGCGTCCACTGGTGAATATAAAACAAAGATACATACTACTCTTCAGTTGTGTCCGCTCCAACACGTCCCCTTCCGCTACCACGCCCGCTATTTTTTTCTACTTTTCCTTCCCTAAAATCAATATAGAGCCAAGTTTCAATTTTTTTTTTATGTGAGTAGCAAACGAGCTGGCGGTTCACCTGATGTCAAGTGATTATACCCGCCCAAGGACATTTGCACCACCCGTGGGGTTGCGTTGCAACCTTTTAACAAAGCGGGCCCCGGCTACCTCACTTATCAGACGGAACGCGGAAGTGTAACACTTCCACTCCACGCAAGTCTCCTGTCAGGTCGCGGTACTTCCCCGGACGGACCTGCCCATTCGTGAAACAGAGAAGACTGTTGCGCGGCCCTAACCTAGTAGGAATTTCTTTTGAATCACAAAACAATTGTTGCGAAATTAAAAAAAAGTCATGACTCATATGGCGGGTACTATTGTACCCTGTATTGCATGAAGTATATTGATATACCAATTACGAACTGTCCTTTGACTCGGTGGAGTAATTTCTAAGTATGTGATTGTTAAGTTAAAACTTGACTTGAATTTAAGCCTGCGGATAAACTGTATACTTAAATAAAATTCATTGTTAAAGACGTGGCCCGTAATTGAACAATGCCAATTACAGGCCACGGCTTTAACAATTACAGGCCAATAATTTCTCCCCAAGGACGTGGCCTGTAATTGTATGAATATGAACTTTGAAGTGGCTTTGATAATTGTGCTAAGTTCGATTGTGCGGTATCGTTTCACTAACCGGACACCTACCTGACAGTGACGCCCGGCACCACGAAATCATCGCCTTCCTTTAACGTGTCCTCTGCCCCTAAGGGATTGGAGTTTATCACGATGTGAGGCGACACCACGGCCGAGGGGCTCTCAAGGACTGTACCTGGAACCGCAAGTATTCAAAACTGTAGAAACATTATAGATGCACAAATCGCGGAACGTGTTTTCATTAATCCATACTAATATTATAAATGCGAAAGTAACTCTGTCTGTCTCATTTTAATGCCAAAACTACTAAACCAATTTAAATGAAATTTGGAACATAGATAGTCTAGAGCCTGAGAAAGGACATTGGCTATTTTTTAATTGGATTTTTTTTTAAAGAAAGATATTTATTTAAGGGCTTCAACGCGAGCGAAGCCACGCACGAAATACTAGTTTCCTATAAGTCTACGAACCAAAACGCCCTTAAGTATTTTAGGTAGTTTTTTTTGCTTTTTAGAATGTTAAGTTAATTTATTTCTGGTGTCTTGGGGTCGGTTGTAGCACCGCGCCTCTGCGACGGAACCACTAAGTTTCTAAATTTCAATGTGGCTGTTCATATATAAACATATTATCATATTATAAACGATATGGGGAGTAGCATTTATAGGAAAGGATAAATTTAAATATAACTTTGTAATTTTACCTGCTAACTTAATGAAGATAGCTGGTAAAATTCAATATTTGATGAGATGCATTTGCATCACGGTCACACTCTTTTTTTTTTTGTTAAAAGTTGCCAAGCGAGCGGGCGGTTCACCTGATGTTAAGTGAATACCGCCGCCCATGGACATCTGCTACACCCGAGGGTTGCAGATGCGTTGGCAGCCTTTTGATAATTGGGCTCCTCCCACCTCACTCACCAGACGAAACGCGAAAGTATTTGTCATACTTCCACTTTACGCCGGTCTTCTGTGAGGTCGTGGTACTCAACCGGACGAGCCTGCCCATTCGTGCAACAGCCGAGGCTGCTGCGTGGACCTACCACAGCCAAAGCTGCTAAAGACCCATATAACGTATATACCGATGCCTATTTTGATACATTATTACCTCACTCACCAGAGGATACGGGAAAATATAATGCTCCCACTTCACAGCGTACACACATACTTGTCCACAATTATCAAGAAAGAAAGACCAGCAATATCGACAAGAAGGCTGAACTCACCGCTCGTGAGGTTTCCCTTCAGCTTCAAATCGATGTTCTCCTTAACTATTTGCCTCAAAATTAAATAGAAAGTGACTGGCACATTTGATGACGGTTTTGTTTTTTTAAAAACATACTCGTCCACTGTCATCAAGGAAGTAAGAAGAGTGATATCAACAAGAAGGCTGGACTCACCGCTCGCGGGGTTTCCGTCCAGCTTCAAATCGATGTTCTCCTTAACTATTTGCCTCAAAATTAAATAGAAAGTGACTGGCACATTTGATGACGGTTTTGTTTTTTTAAAAACATACTCGTCCACTGTCATCAAGGAAGTAAGCAGAGCGATATCAACAAGAAGGCTGGACTCACCGCTCGCGGGGTTTCCGTCCAGCTTCAAATCGATGTTCTCCTTAACTATTTGAGCAATGTTGTACTCGTCTTTTATGTTTTCCGACGTGCTGATCACGATGTATCGTGTCGACCCCTCGCTGTTCGCTTTGGACGTGCAGTCGAAGTAGATCTTGTCGTAGCCCTGGTTCACGGTCAGCCCCAGGGTGGAGAGGGGCTGGGACTGCGAGGGGCACATCGGCTCCTCCGACGGCTGGAACCGGCGCCGTGAACAGATTCCAGATAGGGTACGCGCTATCGCGCTATCGTAAAGTGAAAGTAAAATCAGCCTGTACAAGTCCCACAGCTGGGCAAAGGCCTCTGCACAGAGGGTATCAGGGCATAGTCCACCACGCGGACTTCAAGTATCTTTGAAACATTTGTTTTTGTTACTATTTTGAAAATATGCCGGTTTCCTCACTATGTTTTCCTTCACCGTTGAGCACGTGATAGTTCAGCACTCAAAATTAACAATTTCATTGGTGCTGGCACCGGGAATCGAACTCAGGTTGCTCGAGTATATTGAATTAAAGGCGAGCGCCGGGACACTGAGCTATCACGGTTTACAACGGCCGCTTAGAATATCCTATCTATATGTTGATTCGGTAACTGGAGAAGGGAATTACGACGTGAGGAGATAGGAATTTTAACGGTGGTAGGGTCACGAAACAGTGTTCGCTGTTGCACGAATGGGCGGGTCCGTCCGCGTAAGCACCACGACCTCACAGAAGACCGCCTTAAAGTAGAAGTGTTGCTCTTCTGCGTTTCGTCCGGTGAGTGAAGTAGCCGGGGCCCACATTATTAAGAGGTGGCAAAGCATCTGCAACCCTACGGGTGTTGCACATATCCATGGGCAGGCGGTTATCACTTAACATCAGGTGTACCACCAGCTCGTTTGCCACTTTCTCACATAAAATGTATAATGGAGCTAATGACGAAATACCTATCGCTTCGACCAAACCTTTAGATAGATTGAATATTGAAAACGGCTTGTTAAAAGAACTTACCAACGATCTCATTTGGAACTCAATAAACACGGAAAGCCAAGAGTTGAAGTTTAATTTATCATTAACACTTAAAATCTGTACATGATAAATTTAATAATTATGACGCTTTTGCTTTAGGTGTTGGAGAATGTTTGTACGCGATGACAGGGTTTGCAAAGCTTTTCTGCTTGTATGGAACCGATGCGAGACATTCGCTATTATAAGTACGTGCGGGGTTTCATGAGTAACAGCCTGGTGACAGACAGACAGCGAAGTCTTGATAATAGGGTGCCGTTTCACCCTTTGGGTACGGAACCCTAAAAACTAAAAATAAAACGCTAGAACCGAGCTCACGTCTTGTTCGCAGCTCAAACTGAGGGCACAGAAGTAGCCCTGTGCCGTGTGGACCTGCCTCTTGAATTTATCGAACCTCCTCAGCAAGGCAGCGCACTCCCAACACAAAAAGATACTCTGTTCGGCCAGTGACTCACCAAACTGAAATGAAAAAAGTTGCCCAATGAATAAACATTGGAGCAACAGCTAACACACACTTGAGGCGTTGCATCGATGACTCCGTGACGCAGTTTCCAAGGTATTGGCTTCGGCGTCGGGGGTCGTGGGTTCGATTCCCACACGGGACAACTATTTGTGTGACCCACAGATACAGAGAAAAATTTGGTTTTGTTATTGGCATGTGGATCTACCACTGTTGGCCTTGGGAGACCTTTACAGATGCACCAGACTTGAGGTGGCCGGGCGGTCGGGGCGCCTAGCCTGAACCTCGGTTACGCGTTATTGTGCCTAAGCTCGAGGGCTCCCGAGGGAGCCTCGGCTCGGGCCGTCACCCTATTATTATTCTCACCGGTTTGGGAGGCCACCAATTTAGGGTTTGGTCAAAGTCAAAGTCAAAGTATATTTATTCCATATAGGCCTAACTTAAGCTCTTATTGAACTTTAACAAAAATCTACCACCAGTTTACTAAACTAGACCTGCACAAAGAAGAACAGGCAAGAAACTCTGCGGTCTTGTTCTTTTTGTTATATATATATTTTTTAATGCAATTATACACACTGCTACAAATTGTTTGAAATTGTTTATACTTAGTTGTTTGTGGATGTCACCTATTTTATTATAAAAGTTGGTGGACGCTCCATGGAGTTTCTAGGCTCAAGAGCCCTCGAGACGTGACCTAAATCCCGAAGACGTTGGTTCGATTCCCACAGAGATGTAAAATTTTTCGTTCTTTTTTCTAAATATTTTTATGTATAATATCTTAAGATTAGGACTATAAAGGTTTACGATTTATAAATAAGGTTATTAAAAACTAATACGGAGTCCGTAAAGCGATCCAGGGCGTTTGCTTTGCATACAATGACATTTTAAAAAATTGATGTGATGTTAACGCGCCCGAAGTGAAGCCACGAAATCGTCCCAATTGGGATGTCTTTTCTTTGTTTACGTTAGGCAGGGCGGCGAGTAACACGTATCAAAAATTATACAATAATAAAAATGCCATCGTGTGTCTTTAAAAGATGTTCAATATTCAAGAGATCTCATATCATGTACATATGTAGTATATCCTCGAATTATTAGTACATTTCTATATTTTTTTATGTTTTAATGGGTGTACGTCATAAAACAAAGAAAGAGACAGCTGATAAATTTAAGTCATAAATAAAATAAAACTGAAATATCCTATTCAACGAAATATGGGATCTCGTCTATTATGGCCAATCCTTGCTCAAAACTTGAATAATAGTGATGGCAAAACAAAGATTTCCAGTCAATAAAGAAATGATAATTGACACTGTTAAGAAAATTATAACTGACAGAATTGACCAAATCAGAAAACCAAAGAAAGGCATATTATTGTCAGGTATGAAGGAGAATATTTCAGGAATTTGAGATAAATACTTTGACATTTTCTGCTGGAAATACTATGCTGCCAATGGAAGCCAGAACAATGTGATGAAATCTGGTACTTAAAAGATGCAATAGAATAGAAGATCGCAGTTCCAACTTTGGCTAATAGTCGAGATTTTTATAAAAATAAAAATTTAATTCTTTTTTAATTTTTTTATACTTACGATTGTTTCTTTTAAATTTGATTTGTTTTAGATTTTTCATTCATGTTAATTCATAAATATGATTTTTTAATTATTCATAATAAGAAATGAATCTGATTAAGATTCTAAATGTAGTCTGTTGTCTGGAGATATTAAATGTCGCATCTTGAAAACATTTTAAATTCCAATATATTTGGCTCAATTTTTGATTGTCCGTTGCATTGAAAGTTCAATGCCGCAGACACCCGTTCTTAATCATCGCCTCAATCTAATTAAACTATAATTGACATACATTAGAACTTGTTTCCACTCCACTCATCCCAAAAAAAACTAAGAGACAAGAAAGAAATAAACTGATTTTATTCGAAGATGTAGTATAATGTTTTTGTTGTACATGTTTCTTCAGCGTAGTAGTGTATTTCTTACAATTAAGCCCGATTTTCGTTGGTCAAGTGTTTAGCAAAGTAGATAAGTACAGATGAGTTTACACCACTGTACTCAACTGTACTCAGGAAGTAGCGAGTCCATTTGGCTTGCCAGTTGCCTTGCAACAAGGGATATCAAAAAAGTATTGACATATCGACATTTTCAGCACATATATTTTAATCAGATACATAGGTAAAAATATTCAATATGGAAATTAGTATCAAAAATTATATTTTTTTTCAAATTTGAATCCGGCACAGTCCGTAGGTGATAAATATTTAATACTTGACATACTTTTGACAAAAAGGTCTCTAAGATAAATAAATATCTATTGTTATAAGTTTATACTCGTTTGTAGTTTTAAATACTCACCCTGTCTCCCGCGAAATCGTGCATAAGAAGACAGAACATTTGATAAATTTCTGAATCTTCGTTTAATACCATCAAATCTCGATCTGAACACAGGCAAGTACTACAGATTATACGGTAAACATTATCCGCGTCCTGTTCCATTTTTAAGTGTATTAACCAAGTTTTTTTAGGATTTTCAAAAAGTAAATAATGCGAAATAACCTTCAAGTCTTAAGAAAAAGCAATACTCCCATGTAAAATAGACGAAAGTTGAGGAGCCACTATCAATAGTACTACGACACAAAATTTAGTGGTTATATTGTCTTTGAACGACACTACAAAAAGGCTAACTATTTTTATATTGTTTAATGACTCCATTCCGCCCGTTCTAGGATCGAAGAATATTCGATACCTATACAATAATAAACAATAAATATTATATTCAATCAATAATATACACAGTGTTACCAACCAGATATATATAAGTACTCTTTGTTACCAACTTTCGAATATATTAGTCCATAACTCTGGATTTGGAATACAGCAATGTTTGTGATATGTCAGAAGAATTACTCGATTATTGATATTGAGAAAACATCGCTTTTTCTACTCGATGCATCGAAAAGTATCAATGCACAGTCTCGATGTTATTATATAGATCAGGGGTGAGCAACCTTTTTAATCAATGGGCCAATTAAAATTTCAATTTTATTAGGCGGGCCGCACATAATAATTTACGAAAATGTATTTATAATAAATATTAGAATAAAAAATATTAAATTAAAAAAAGTAAATATTTCGTATACCAATTTTAATGCAAGGTAACAAACAAACAAGAAAAAAACAGAAAAACGAACAAAAAATATTACGGTTCAGTATGTATTACCATTTTATTATAATTAATTTTATAACAATATATTGATGGGAGAAATTCGATAAAATAAATTCAATTTTAGAAATGCTTGGCGGGCCGCATAAACATGTTTAAGCCGCAAGCGGCCCGCGGGCCGCGCGTTGCTCATCAGTGATATAGATGATTTCCAAATGAATGGTATAAATACAATGAAGGATATTGCACTCAGAATGGCTTCTATAATCTACATTCTACACTGCAACAAAGTAACTACTATCAGATGTGCTTGTGGAACGGAGGAAGGAAATTTGAATCATATTTACCTTTTTTTTTTCCGTGGGAAAAATCCTTTATGGATCCCCTGCCACTGGATCGGGGGAGTGGCAGGGGTATGTGGGAGTTCCGGTGAGAAACGGGTACCCACTAAAAACCCACGTTGCACCTGCCTCTGTCGCATCGCCCGGGACACGGGAACACGTGGACGCAATCTTCCGCAACCCCGCCGCGACTATGCCCTTTTAGGCCTCCTCTACTGCATCGTGCTGTGCCGGTGCAATTGGCACAGCACACATCACGAGCCCCATATTGAGCGACAGACACCCCCATGTCTGCCGCTCAGGGTCTCACTATCAGGGGGGAAGGTTGTGCGAATCACATTTACCTGTCTTGTCCATTATATGACCGCTGATATTTTTACTAATCTCCTATTGCTCCGGATACCTTTCCCTAGGGATGGGTCGTATCGCTTTTTCTGAGTACCGTATCTGAATCCGATATCGATTTCAAATATCAGATTTCGAAACTATGTATTTTAATATCTAGATATTTTACGGTTCCCTATCCACGTTGATTAATTGAATTCTAAAAAAAAAAAAAAAAAAAATTGTATACTTTAAGGGAGTACATATAAGATGAATGAAATAACTAAATAACTTCCCTTCATACTTTTTCCAGGCTTAGGACTGGCTGAATATTTCATACTTATTATAAATATAAAATTGTGCAGGCGTATTAAAAAGTTGATTCATTCTATGTACATAATTTTCCTTATATTTCAAACTTAACATTATATATTTACAATTATGTCAGGGTTAATAATTATTTATATCCCTCCGGGTTCAAATTCACGTTTAGGAACGTAAGCTCTCTGACTTTATTCGTCGAAAGTCTTGTTCGACGATCATTAATAATTAACCCTGTCTTACTAAAAATGCGTTTTTTTAAATTATTAAATTAAAAATTTCATTAAAAATATAAATTGAAGTAATATAAAAATGATTTATTTTAACATCTTATATACCGCTTAATAATTGACTTTAACATATTTTTAGAACACGCAATCGAGTGGCAATATTTTTATTATTTGTGTAAGAAATAATACACGAATTTAAAATATACACACAAGGCACATAAGCCTTGGTCTGATTTCCACCAAAGCAGCACAGCACTATTAAATTATATTTTTCTTTTTGTGTACTTTTATTTTTTTCCAAAAATATGATTTAGCTAATAAAAATATTCACAAAAAATTTACCTCCTAAAAAATTTCCATTGTATATTTTTCTTCCTTAATTTTGGCAGAAAATTCTTAAGTAGTAAGTTGGCATCCCTTACTATTACGTGTTAAGTACCAATGCAATCCAGCTCAAGGCTGAACAAAATTTCAAAGACATCGTTAATACCGTAATTCGTATTTAAATGCAACAGAGTTTTTTTTTCCATGCTGTTAAGATTCAAAATTACTTAACTGCGCGCTTTGTCGCCCGTTACGGCTCAAGGCTAAACAAAACAATAAAAATATAATAATATCGTTGTAGTAATCGCTGATACCAAGATTAGTATTTAAATGAAACGGATCTTATTTGCATGGTGTTAAGATTCAAAATTACTTAATTTATTCATAACATCTGTTTAAAAATCTGTTTAACATCTGTTTAAAAATCTGATATCGTGCATTGCTTGCCGTCCCACTCTAACTAGTAAGTGCTTATATCTCACGCGCTTTGTCGCTCGATATCTGATATCGTGCATTGCTTGCCGTCCCACTCTAACTAGTAAGTATTTATATCTCACGCGCTTTGTCGCTCGATATCTGATATCGTGCATTGCCTACCGTCCCACTCTAACTAGTAAGTATTTATATCTCACGCGCTTTGTCGCTCGATATCTGATATCGTGCATTGCTTACCGTTAATACATAGATATTGAACGAGCCAGTAAGCGATATTGGGATATTGTACTAATATCTAGTTTTCATATCTGATACGATTTGTATCGCCCACTTCTACCTTTCCCTATTAATATACCATTTCTTTTATCATATAACGACCCTTGTGTTTATAGAAAAATAGCTAAAAAATAGTATAATTTGGTTCATAGGTTAATGTACAATATATGTAATACGCTTTTAATAAAAATAAATATTTTGTAATTAATAATACTTAATCACATTGTATATATGTATCGTAAATCTTCTCGATTATTTTCCTTTTCCAAATTTCGCTTTCCACTACTGTTGAAATAAATTTAATTGAACAAAACCACTGTTTGTGTTTCCTTCCTTTTACTTGTCATTGGCCTAGAGGATAACAAAATGACAGAAATAGAGAAAAAAAAAAGCTATCAGTTATGGCCACTGTGGTTTGTTTTGTTCTTTGAAAAATATTTTTCAAATATGACTCTCTTTCAGTTATTGATTGATTAAATTACTATTATTGAAAAATCTTGACACAGCAATGCTAATCCACAGTTTACTTTATTCATAACTTACATCTTTGTGCCAAAAATCTTGTTAAATGGCAGAAAAATCAACATAACACTCAACAACTTTGCATAAAATTATATTAGGCGGTATGAATGAGACATATTAAAAATTAGTTTTCTAATATAAATTCAATAATGGAGCCGAAAGTTGAAGTAGGAAAAAACTTGTTGTGCATGGCTTGTTTGTGTGTTGAAAGAACTTTACACGAACATAGCGATGGGAGATTTAAACAGTATTATTTAGACTGCATTAATGAAATTCCTGTAAGTATGAAACTTGGTGCCCCTACTTTTAAGTTTTTAAAACATCACATTATAGGCCTTATATAGTATTAATTTATAAAGTTGGCGAGAATGTCTATTTTATATTCAATACACAACATAACAGCTGGCAATTTTAGATTAAAAAAATAAAAACCAACCTTCCTTGAGAGTAGAAGCTAAGCCTAAGAATAGGCTTTTTATAGTATGTTTCAATTTCAAACATACTATACTTTATGATATTTATAAAGTAAGCCTATAGATGTCCCATTGCTGGGCAAAGACCTCCTCTGTACAGACGGTATCAGGGCATAGCCCACTACGCGGCCCCACTGCGGATTGGCGGACTTCACATATTTTCGAAAGATTTCATCTGGTTATTATTTCGAAAATGGTTTACTCACAATGTTTTCCTTCACTCCGGAGCATATGATAAATCAGGATTAAATAATATAATAATTTCATTGGTGGTTTCACCGGAGATCTAACTCGGGTCCCTCAAGTAAATGGAATTAAAAACTTATTTCTTTTACTCATTTGTAGCATGGTTTGAACTGAATAATAATCAATTAGAACATGTCAGTTTGCAACAACTGGAAAAAAATTTTTAACTACATTAAGTGTTAAGTGTTGTATGACCTTTTATTTAACAGCTCTACGTAATGCCAAGGGTATTAAGCATCTGCTGGGAGTGTGAAGCAATGTTCAAGAAAGCGGTTCAATTCAAAGAACAGGTGAAGGACTCATACAGAATACTCCAAACTTACACAAGTGAGGTAAATATGGTAGTGCATAATTGATACGTCAATTAAAGCAGCCACTGACATCTTTTAATAGTAGCTAAGAAGTAGATAACCAATTGTATCCCAGTTTCAGAAATTCAATTTTACTTCCAATAGAATAAAGAAAAAATACCAGCCTATGTTAATAAATAAATATTAATATTTTAGAACTCATTTTTTACACAACATTCTAGTTCCAAACTAAGCAATGCTTGTACTATGGGTACTAGATAAACTGATAAACATACTCAAACATACTTTTCTTTTGTTAATATATACATATTATACATAATTATATAAACAGTCAGACACTAGAAAAACACTATGTTCATCACACAATATTTTTCCACTAGTGGGGATTGAACCCACATCCACACCATTTGGTTCGTCTCTACGTCTACTACTACTACTAGTATACATCCCATTGATGGACAGAGGTCTCTTGTGTAACCCCACAAAGCAAATATTGTATTATTATTCTGTAAGAAAGTATATAAAATAAAATAATATGCACTTTGTATAAATGGGAACTTACAGAATCCTGTCAGTCACAGAACATAAAATTATATGTACAATTTATACAAAAAAAAATTTTCTTTATGGAGGCACATCATCAGCCTTTGGTTGTCCAATTCTGGATGTAGGCCTCTCTCAATAAACACCATATTATAACTTAATTTTGCGCACTTAGTGTCCAGTTGCATTTGTCAGGTTGCAGACACAAGTTAATATCTAATAAAAATAAAAGTTTTAATCATTTAATTATTTGAAAATTGACTCCATTACTATTACTCAGTGGCCCAGTTGCTAAGTCATTGTCTTATGTGTTTGGGGTTGTGGGTTTGATTCCACACAGGACAAGTATTTCAGTGACACACAGATAATTGTTTGAGACCGAGTGTTCTTTTAGTCAGGAGGTCGATTCTAAAAACCTATTTAATAACCCTTTCTAAAAAGGATGGGTCAAGGCTGATTTTTTTAATTCACAGAACCTTGCTGAATGTCTGTTATCAGACATTTCTAGGCCGCCCAGGTTAAAAGTACATGTGAACAGTTCAATCAATATTGCACCTGATGTATGATGGGTCCAAGGAGCTCAAGAAATTCCCGAGAGGGTCGGAATGTATAAAATCAGAGCCAAAGTTTGAGGCTTTAGTAAAAGGTATAGTAACAGTATACAGGCATATCCCGTTGCTGGGCCAATGCCTCCTATGTACAGAGAGCATTAGGGCATATTCCATCATGCAACCCTGCTATGGTTTCGCAGAATATACCTATGAGATGTTTTTTCCTTTTATTATTATTTATATGTGCAGTTTCATATTGACAGATGCTTCCAAATTTTTCATTAGTGCAAGGACTGTGATTTTGTTATTTGCACTTGTGGTGCTCCGGAATTAAAATGGAGCGTGTTCACGGGAACAAGGTGAAAGATTGTAAAGCTAAACAACGTAGTATTAGAATAATTATACATCTTGCTTGAAAAATATAATAGACAAATGATTATAAATTTCTTATGTACAAGATTTGACGGTGGTAGGGCCACGCAGCAGCCTCGTCTGTTGCACGAATGGGCAGGCTCGTCCGGGTAAGTACCACGGCCTCACAGAAGACCGGCGTAAAGTGGAAGTATAATACTTTCGCGTTTCGTCTGGTGAGTGAGGTGGCCGGAGCCCAATTTTCAAAAGGTTGTCAACGCATCTGTAACCCTCGGGTGTGGCGGATGTTCATGGGCGGCGGTATACACTTAATATCAGGTGAACTGTCTGCTCGCTTGACAACTTTTCACATAAAAAAAATACCTATAACTCTCTCTACCGGTTGCAGAGGTCAGGAGGAGCACCAAGGTACCTGTCCTCACCCCTAACGAGGAATCCGACTGCTTGAGAGCAGACACTCAGCGGAATGCCAAAGAGGACCCCATTCTAAGCCATGTTAAGTGATGAAGTGAAATCTAAGTTTTCTCTATCCTAGTTGGTGTCCGAATGTAAGCCTATCTGAATGTACTGGTCATTTGTGAACACGTAGTATCATAGTAAGAGATGGCTGGGAAAATAGTCTGAGTGAGTGAGGTGTCCAGGGGCCCCTTCTTTAGATATTGGCAACGCATCTGCAAACTAACCCTTACATGTCCATGGGCATGTCGAATTCAAATTCAAAATATCTTTATTAACATACACGCTTGCGCGTTCTTATGAAACGTCGTAATTTTACATAGAAATTAATACGTGCATAAGTTACCAATATTACCATACAATATTAATGTTACACTGATAATGACTACCTGATGGTAATTTAGACGGCTTACAGGTTTGTTACTGTTGTTGTTGTGTAGTCAAAACAGCTTATATACGTCCCACTGCTAGGCAAACGCTCCTTTATATAGAGGGACAGGACATAGTCTACCAAGTGAACTCAATCCAGATTGGCAGACTGCATATCTTCGAAATATGTTATTTTATTTTATTATTATCACGACTATACCATAATACTCCTATAGAGTAATAGCCTATACAGTTTTGTGAGGATGGTATTCGAATTAAAATTCAATAATAAATATCTTTATTCAATAAAGAAGCATTACATTTACTGATTGATTGTAAAGAAACGCTACTACTGGGTCGGAAAACAAGCCACTGATCTGAGAAGAACCGGTGAAACAAACTCAGCGGAACAAATTTTCTTAAACACAATTTTACAAAAAAAAAAACTCTTTTAATTAAATTCTACTTGAAAGAGCAATCAATTAATTTATAGTGTCTTATCATTTATTTACTTTAATTAATTTATTTATTTTATAGGGTTTAATTTTTTGTGGTAGTAGCCACCAGAATTTTCGGCTGTTGCACAAATGGGTAGGCTCCCCCGGGTATGCACCAATGCCTCACGGAAGACCGACGTGAAGTGGAAGTATTACACTTACGCGTTTCGTCTGGCGAGTGAGGTAACCGGGGCTCACTTTTAACTGTGATGTAGATCTGTGGTGTTAGTCACTTAACATCAGGTGAACCGTCTGCTTGCTTGCAAGCTTTTCTCATAAAATTACACTATAAATTTAATAATCCCGATTAAGTCTGAGTAAGATTGATGTTTCCCCCCGGCTGTGCGAGTTTCCAGTCTGTAACTGAAGAAATGCATTCTTTTTACAGGAGCCTCTAGAAGATCCCGTCTCGGAGGAAGAGGCTGGAACTAGGGAACCGCGGGCGGTGGACCCGAAACATGAGCTGAAGGTGGAACTTGCCCTGAACGGTGAGTGGTTTGTGGTGATGAATGCTGCCAGTAGAAGTGTTCGGTCCTCGTCAGCCGAGGAACCAAGTTCCCTTTGTCCAATCGCGATAGGAGCTGGGTGAGAAGGTGGCAAGAGAGCTGGCCCTCCACGTGATGGTAAGTGACAACCGCCCATGGACATTGCAACACCCGTAGGGCTGCGGGCCCAATAAAGTGGGCCCCGGCTACCTCACTCAACATACGAAACGCAGAAGTGTTACAATTCCATTTCACGCTGGTTTTCTCCCATTCGAGCAACGTTTGCATGTTTGAGGAATCTGAGAGTCATCGGGCCCAGGGAGGTGGCTGCTAGGACTAAATTGATGGAGCCATTTGCCTATTTCGGATGAGTGGATGAGCCCTTCTATGATGCTACTGAAGCTGGTCTTTATAGTAAAAATAGCGTCCATGATTTGTGTGGAATAGGTTGGGTAATAACCTAGCTCTTAACAAAATAGTGCGGCAGCGGGAGAACAGCTTAAGCCTCCTGTGTTCATTTCATGAGAGGGCTTTGACTGTGGTAAGGCCACGCATATCTTAAATTAAAAAAATATTTAATGATCAAAGTGTTTTTACCAGTGTCTGGGTGTTTATTATATCCATATACAGCGTGTCGTTACCAACGCGACAATAAATGAACACGCATGTAGAGCATAACTTTTTAAAATTGTATCAAAAATTTACTTTCTTTAAACATCAATATTTACAGAGTTATTAAATTTTACAAAGAATTTTAGAACATCCTTACGTATAAAACTGTAACGTAAAGTTCATTTATAAAGGTCACAAAGCATATGAATGGGTTGAATGAATTTAAAAGAGACAAAACATACTGTTAGAAGAGGAGGCTTGTAATACGACGCTGTGGCGCGAGTTGTATAGGATGTTACAAATTTTGTTTCCTTTTTACTTTGTTAATTAGTTTGAAAAATATTTTTTATTTAATTATGGATTTTGTTTAACGTTAATATTTTTTTATGATTATTGGCAAGTAGCGTTAGACGTGTGTTCATTTATTGTCGCGATGGTAACGACACTCTGTATATAAAAATGAATTGCTGTTTGTCAGCCTCGCTTCAGCTTGGACTAGAATGCCTTGTGTATAGGTTCCTCCTGAAATATTTGTTTATATCAACGATGTTTAATAATATAGATGTCCATACTGCGCGAGTGCGCGGCGTTTGAAAATAAAAATTTCTTTGCTTTACATTATATACCATATATAAGTGAATGTGACGGTTGATATGAAACGTATGAAATAGAAAGAGATAGCAGTCTATAGAATTGCAATCTATTTACACCAATTGGTGTATATTTGAGTGCCTCAATTTCGCTATGAGTGAGCTACTGTCATATCTACCTCATATTTGTATTTAATATCATTTTTTATATTATACTAGCGACCCGCCCCGGCCTCGCAGGGGTGCAATGTATTATACATATAAACTTTCCTTTTGCATCACTCTATCTAGGATAAAGAAACCGCATCAAGATCCGTTGCGTAGTTTTAAAGATCTAAGCATGCATAGGGACAGACAGACAGCGGGACGACTTGGTTTTATACTTTGTAGCGATGATGAAATTGTTTCTCACCTCCGACTGTCCTACATTCTCAGATGCGGAAGTCGAATCGGAGAGGGAGTGCGCTACTTCTGTCTGCTCCGAATCCGAGCTGGAGGTGGAAACGAAGCTGCAAGAGTTCCTCGGCGCGAAGAAGAGCGGGAAGAAGAGCAAAGGCAGTTCCAAGAACGCGGTCAAGCGGAGCAGAAAGGTGTCCAAGAAGGTAATAACTAACTCAGCATACTGTTGACGCCTGACGACGGTTTGGATTTATCACCCCCACTTAAAAGAGGGGGTATTAAAAATTCGTGTCAGTCCGTCAGTCCGTGTGTCTGTCTGTGGTATCATTGTTTCTTAGCGTTTTTTTTAGCCGACCTCAAATATCTCGCTCTGTATTCGTAATATAATTGATTTTCAGGAGTATATAAGTATAATATATATATAAGTATCTCCGGAGCCAGAGATCCAATACCAATGAAATTAACATGGCACCACGTGGGAAGCACCGGCTTTCAAATAAAAAAAAAACCATCAAAAATAGGTCCAATCAATTGAATGTTCTAGGTCAAGGATGAGCAACGCGCGGCCCCTTAAACATGTTTATGCGGCCCGCCAAGCATTTCTAAAATTGAATATATTTTATCGAATTTCTCCCATCAATATTTTGTTATAAAATTAATTATAATAAAATGTTAGTGTATACTGAACTACTACCTATTTACTTTGCATTAAAATTTGTATATGAAATCTTCACCTGTTTTTAATTTTATATTTTTTATTCTAATATTGCGGGAAGTCGATGGATGCAGGTGGCTCAGGATCGTACTTCGTGGCAGTCTGTGGGGGAGGCCTATGTTCAGCAGTGGACTGAAACAGGCTGAAATGATGATGATGATGATTCTAATATTTATTATAAATAAAGTTTCGTAAATTATTATGTGCGGCCCGCCAAAAAAATTTGAAATTTAAATTGGCCTTGATTAAAAAGGTGCTCACCCCTGTTCCAGGTGACAAACGTAAAAAAGAAACATTCGAATTGAGAACCGCCTTCTTTTTTGAAGTCGGTACAAAAATGGTCTTGTCTCCAGTACGATTTAATGATTCCTAATTCGAACCCCACCAGGTCCGGAAGGCGGACCCGCTGGGCGCCAAGGCCGCTGAGAGGAAGATACTCACCGTGAAGCTCTCCTACGAGGAGATGATGACGGAGCGCCGGCAGGAGAGTGAGAAGGAGATGTATAAGAAGGCGGCCTACAAGTGCGAGAGCTGCCTGCTCTGCTTCAGCAGCGGCAAGGCGCACAGGAGCCACGTGGCCAGCAAGCACTCGCCGGTGAGGGCGGGAGCGGGTTCGATTCCCGCGCGGGACGAGGATCTGGCTGTCGGTGTTAAAGAAAGAGTGAAAGTATTTCTTTTTTATGTGAGAAAGTGGCAAACGAGCTGTCGGTTCACCTGATGATAAGTGGTAACCGCCGCCCATGGACGTTTGCAACACCCGTAGGGTTGCAAATGCGTTGCCACCTATAAATAAAGTTGGCCCCGGCTACCTCGCTCACCAGACGAAACGCAGAAGTGTGACTTTACGCCGGTATCTGTGAGGTCGTGGTACTTACTCGGACGGACCTGCCCATTCGTGCAACAGTGTACACTGTTGCGTGGTCCTACCACAGTTAAGTAACGACCTTTTATGTACAGAGGCTATCAGGGATATACAGTCCACCACGCGGCCCCACCGCAGAATGGCGGACTTCACATATATTCGAAATATTTCTCTTGTTGTTATTTCGAAAATATGACGTTTTCTTTCACCGCTGAGCACGTGATAATTCAGGAACTAATCAACAAATCGGAATTAATCAAAGCTGGCACCGGGGATCGCACTCGGGTTGGTACACGTACATTGGTGTTTATTGAGACAGTAAATGTGGTGGGGCCACGCGCCAGTCTTCTCCGTTGCACGAATGGGATGTCCCACCACCTCACGGGTGGCCGGCGTGAAGAGTTAAGTGTCGCACTTATGCTTTTCGTCTGGTGAGTGAGGCAGCCGGGGCCCGCTTTATTGATAGGTGGCAACACCTGTGCAGCCCTACGGGTGTTGCAAATTTCAATTAGCGGTGGTTATCAGTTAACATCAGTGGAAACGCCAGCTCGCTTGCCACCTTCTCACATAATAAAAATGTTAAAAACCAGACCGACTTTAACACTAGCATTAGAGCATAAGAAACCTGAATGGTTCAATTGCCTTCTTTGAAATATGCAGCGTGTCGTTACCATCGCGACAATAAATGAACACACGTGTAACGTTACTTGCCAATAATCATAAAAAAATATTAACGTTAAACAAAATCCATAATTAAAAAAAAAATATTTTTCAAACAAACTAATTAAGTAAAAAAGAAACAAACTTTGTAACATCCTATACAACTCGCGCCACAGCGTCGCATTACAAGCCTCTCCTTCTAACAGTATGTTTTGTCTCTTTTAAATTCATTCAACCCATTCATATGCTTTGTGACCTTTACAAATGAACTTTACGCTACAGTTTAAACGTAAGGGTGTTCTAAAATTGTTTGTTTTGGAAAATTTAATAATTGATGTTTAAAGAATGTAAATATTTAATACAATTTAAAAAAAGTTATCCTCTATATGTGTGTTCATTTATTGTCGCGGTGGTAACGACACGCTGTATAACTTATAGTACAGTACCCATTATTAGCATTTTCTACGTCTTCGTTTACCTAAAGTATGAATGAATAAATGAACGAACGAATGAATTAATTGATAGTGAATTAACAGAACGAATGGAATAAACGCGGCGATAAGATGACTCCGTGGCGCAGTTGCCAAGGTATCGGCTTCGGCGCCGGGGGTCGTGGGTTCAATTCCCACACGGGACAACTATTTGTGCGACCCACATAGTTTTTTCGCATCTGGGTGTTTGTCCTCGTGCAATTTATGTTTGTAAGACGTCCTTACAACACAGGACAACGTTATCCTAAAGTGAGGGCAATGTTTTCTTAGAAAAGAAAAAAAAAAACCTTCAGCTTGTTTCTTCCTCAGGAGTTGGGCAAGTACAGCTGCCCGATCTGCAGCACCGTGATATCAACCGTTGAATCCTTCACGGAGCACTGCAAGAGACACTTTCGGAGGTAAAATCTAGAAGCACACAGCCAATGTGTGCGAACACATTAAACACATATAGGGCACATCTTTACACAGCGTTCTCCAGTCCCAAACCAAGCAACGCTTGCACCATGGGCACTAGATAAATAATAAACATACTTAACATAACCTATTAAACATATTTCTCTTTTGTAAATAAATACATATTATACATATGTACCCAGACACTGGAGAATCAATATGTTCATCACACAATTATTGCGGTGGTAGGGCCACGCAGCAGCCTCGGCTGTTGCACGAATGGGCAGGCCCGTCCGGGTGAGTACCACGGCCTCACGGAAGACCGGCGTAAAGTGGAAATATAATACTTTCGCGTTTCGTCTGGCGAGTGAGGTAGCCAGGGCCCACTTTTTTTAAAGGTTGTCTACTCATCTGCAAACCCTCGGGTGCGGTTAATTCTAGCTGACTCGGCAAACGTTGTTATGCCATATAAATTATTTCTAGAGAGTCAAATCGGTCCAGCCGTTCTCGAGTTTTAGGGAGACTAACGAACAGTAATCCATTTTTATATACAGCGTGTCGTTACCATCGCGACAATAAATGAACACACGTCTAACGCTACTTGCCAATAATCATAAAACAATATTAACGTTAAACAAAATCCATAATAAAAAAAATTTTTTTTTGAAACAAACTAATGAAGTAAAAAAGAAACAAAACTTGTAACATCCTACACAATTCGCGCCACAGCGTCGCATTACAAGCCTCTCCTTCTAACAGTATGTTTTGTCTCTTTTAAATTCATTCAACCCATTCATATGCTTTGTGACCTTTAGAAATGAATATTACGTTATAGTTTTATACGTGAGGGTGTTCTACAATTCTTTGTAGTTTAATACAATTTTAAAAAGTTATCCTCTATATGTGTGTTCATTTATTGACATTTAGTCGCCATTGTAAAGACACGCTTTATAAGAAGATAGAAAAATAAACAACTATAGGGGAAAAGCTGACTGTTTAACTTCTTCCATTGGTATACTTTATTGCAGATTTTTATTTTTATTGCTCTATTGTTCTAATCCCCCCCCCCCCAGGTATGAGTGCACGATCTGCCTCAAACGCACCATGGACAAGAAGACCATAGAGCAGCACTACTTCACCACCCACGAGATATCGCTGAGGGAGTATCGCTGCAACCAGTGCGGGAAGGTCTCCAAGTAGGTGCACGGCGCGGCGATGTTCGGATCCAGGGTTGCCAGTGGAAAGGGATTGCCGCTAGACTGGGCTGCAGGTGTTGCCAGCCCTAGAACGCGGGCCCCGGCCACCTCACTCGCCAGACGAAACGCAGAAGTGCAACTTTCGCTTTACACTTCACGCCGGTCTTCTGTGTGGCAGTGTCTACTTGGGACGTACCTGCCCATTCGTGCAACAGCGAAAACTGTTCCGTTACCCTACCACATGGTAGGCCATTGGATTAGTGTAATTTAAAGTAAAAATAATTAGTGTTGTTTAGTTTGTAACTTTTTTTTTATTAATAACACTGCCCTCACTTTAGGATAACATTATCGTGTGTTGTAACGACGTTTTACAAACATAAATTGCACGAGGACAAACACCCGGATGCGAAACAATCTTCGGGTAGCACAAATAGTTGTCCCGTGTGGGAATCGAACCCACGACCCCCTACGCCGTAGCAAATATCTTGGCAATTACGCCACGAAGTCATCTTAATGTAATTTTTTACTTTAGTTCTGTCTTGTCAAGTAGAGATAGACATTATCGCACGGTTAGGATATCCACCGCTTTATTAGTAGTTAGTCTGTCTGGGCCCGTTAGCCAGTAGACGCAGGTTTGAATTCCAGCAGAAAAACAATATCATAATTTCAAATATAAAACTATGATTTGAAATAAAAACCAAATGATAAATAAATCCTTACTTATAATCTATACAGATAAATAAAATTGGAGTGTCTGTTTGTAATATTAAAATAACCGCTTTTTACTAAACGCATATTGATGTATACAAGGTACATATACCAAAATAACATTTATTACAATTTTTGTCTGTCTGTCTGTCTGTTTGTTTCGCCTAATCTCTGTAACGGCTGGACAGATTTGGACGGGACTTACACTGGCAGATAGCTGATGTAAAAAGGAGTAACTTAGGCTTCTTTTATTTTAGATGTTTTTTTTTTTATTTAAAATTCCACTCGGACGAGGTCGCTGGCACTGCTAGTCCTTATTTCGTTATTAATATTATAAAGGCGAAAGTTTGAATGTATGGATGTGTGTTTGTTACTCTTTCACAAAAAAACAACTGAATGGATTTTAATGAAACTTTGAAATAATATAGCTTATACATCAGAATAACACATAGGCTATAATTTGTAAATATATTGTGTGAATTGTCCAAAACATAGGTAATGATAAGTGTTACCTCGGAATAAATTCAGCCATCTGCGAGATGTTCTGGTGTATAATAAAAAGTCATTGTTTGACCCCTTTGACGGGTGAAGCCATGGACAACAGCTACTTAAATTATAAACGGAAAGAATTGATTGAAAACGGTGGTGATTTATTGACCCATTAACGGTGGTGACCGTCCGTTGCAGCTCGATAGACAGCCACCGCTACCACCGCGACACTCACAAGGCGCGCGTCCAGTGTCCGGACTGCGAGAAGACCTTCAGCCACCGGGCCGGACTCATGAACCACCGCCTGTCGGTACACGCATAAACACACACACACACACACACACACACACACACACACACACACAGTCTCACACACACACACACACACACAGTCTCACACACACACACACATACACACACACATACACACACACACACTCGCGCACACGTGCACATTTTTCTGTTGTTTTGTTTCTCATTTCTCTTGATGTTTATTAACTTTTGTCGTATTTTTAATGTAAAACTTTTGAAGTATCTTTAATTTCTTTGGTTTTAAATAGTGTACATTATGTTGGTCATTTAATAAAATAAACAATAAATGAACAGCTTCGACAAGACATTACACACCGCAACGTCACATCAACACAAACAACGGCCTACGCCACGCTACACAAAGTCACATGGCGGACAAACGAATTCGTAGACTTTGTTACGATTTAAATCGCCCATAATTGTAACCGTCTCACTAAAGTAACAGCCTATGTCCCACTGCTGGGCAAAGGCCTCCTCTTTTACAGAGGGTATCAGGGCCTAGCGACAGTCCACCACGCGGCCACTGCGGTTTGGTGGACTTCGCGTATCTCCGAAATATTTTTTTTTGTTATTATTTCGAAAATATGCGGCCTTCCTCCCGGTGTTTTCCTTCACCGCGGAGCACGTGATGAGTCGGCACTTAAAATTAACAATATTAACAAAATTAATAAGGAATCGAATTCAGGTTGCTCGAGTATATTGAATTAAAGGCTTCACTGAGCTATCACTGTCTCATTGTTCCGTGTTATTCTATACCCGGAATTTTGAATTGTTCCTCCTCGAATTTAATATATAGCGTGTCTTTACAATCGCGACAATAAATGAACACAAATATAGGGGATAACTTTTTAAAATTGTATTAAACATTTACATTCTTTAAACATCAATATTTACCGAGTTATCAAATTTTCCAAAACAATGAATTTTAGAACACCCTTACGTATAAAACTGTAACGTAAAGTTCATTTGTAAAGGTCACATAGCATATGAATGGGTTGAATGAATTTAAAAGAGACAAAACATACTGTTAGGAGAGACTTGTAATCCGACGCTGTGGCGCGACTTGTATTGTTACAAATTATATTTCTTTTTTACTTAATTAGTTTGTTTGAAAAATATTTTTTTTTTATTATGGATTTTGTTTAACGTTAATATTTTTTTATGACTATTGGCAAGTAGCGTTAGACGTGTGTTCATTTATTGTCGCGATGGTAACGACACGCTGTATATCTCTCTCTCTCTCTTAACTGATTACAGTGCCGTACACGAGCTCCAGAATACGTTCCCTTGCACGGTTTGCGATAAGGTGTTCCGTTGGCGGACCAGTCTCAAGAGGCATCTGGAGAAACACGACCTGAAGGTGGGTTTCAGCCTGAGGGTCATCCGAGGGCATTCCAAATTGCCCACTGTTGATACAAGCAGACTCCATTCGAGTCTACAAAGTTGAAAGACATTCAAGGTCATTCCACAATTGCCCACTGTCGGTAAAAGCATACTCCATTCGAGGCTACAAAGTTGAAGGACATCCAAGGTCATTCCACAATTGCCCACTGTTGATACACGCATACTCCATTCGAGGCTACAAAGTTGAAGGACATCTAAGGTCATTCCACAATTGCCCACTGTCGGTAAAAGCAGACTCCATTCGAGGCTACAAAGTTGAAGGACATCTAAGGTCATTCCACAATTGCCCACTGTCGGTAAAAGCATACTCCATTCGAGGCCACTGGCGACACGCTTCCTATACGTCCCTAGAGTGAGATAGTGCGTAGTCTGTTCTTAAGCAGTAGGGCAACATCGCGTCTTCCGTTGCCGGGGAAGTACCCGCGCATCAATGGTGACCGGCGTAATCAGTGTACATAATTATACTTGTGTACGGTGTTCCGTCTGCCGGGTGAGGTAGACGGGGCTCGCCGACCTGTGGCTCGGCAGTGCAAAGGTTCCGTGTGAAAACGGTGCCGCCACCTCTGTGCTGAGATGGTGACCGCTAGCGTTGTGAAGGTGGACGTGTAGTCGGTCCGAAACAGTCGGCGGGCAGCCTGTCACTTATCACTTGTCATCTTTAACTAATCACTAGTCACTAGTAACTTGTCACCTGTAACTTGTCGCTTGTCACTTGACACTTGTCACTTGTCGCCGCTGCCTTAGTCGCGGGGCGGGCCGGCCGGCGGCGCGGCGTTCTGCGCCAAAGTGTGCGCATCGAGTTCTCTCGCTGTGCTCGTGCCGCCACCTGCGTAAAAGCCTCAAGCTCGTAACGATTCGAGGCCACTTTAGCAGCTTCCTATACGTCCCTAGAGTGAAGCTCAGTGCGTAGTCTGTTCTTAAGCAACGTAGGGCAAACATTCTTCCGTTGCCGGGAAGTACCCGCGCATCAATGTGACCGGCGTAATCAGTGTACATAATTATACTTGTGTACGGTGTTTTTCGTCTGCCGAGTGAGGTAGACGGGGCTCGCCGACCTGTGGCTCGGCAGCGCAAAGGTTCCGTGTGAAAACGGTGCCGCCACCTCTGTGCTGAGATGGTGACCGCTAGCGTTGTGAAGGTGGACGTGTAGTCGGTCCGAAACAGTCGGCGGGCAGCCTGTCACTTGTCATCTTTAACTAATCACTAGTCACTAGTAACTTGTCACCTGTAACTTGTCGCTTGTCACTTGACACTCGTCGCCAGCAACTCGCCACTTGTCACCAGTAACTTATCACTAGTTATTTGTATCTGCTCACTAGTCACTTGTCTCTAGTCACTTGCGACTTGTCACTTGACACTTGTCACTTGTCGCCGCTGCCTTAGTCGCGGGGCGGGCCGGCCGGCGGCGCGGCGTTCTGCGCCACGTGCGCCATCGAGTTCTCCTCGCTGTGCTCGTACCGCCGCCACCTGCGCAACAGCCTCAAGCACGTAACGAGGGACCAGCTCAAGTGAGTGACAACGTAGGCATTTAGCACCCGGGCGTTGCTACCCGACTGCGCCAGAAGGAGGGTTATGTTTTTCGAGTGTATGTATGTATGTATGTATGTATGTATCTCTCTGTAGGAATAAATGATGATTATTATTATTATTATCTATGTATGCAAATAAATAATAATAAATATTTTAGGACACATTTTTACGCAACATTCTCAACTCAACACCAACAACAACTAGATAACCGATAAACATACTTAAACATACTTTTTCTTTTGTAAATAAATACATATTATACATTATACTAACACCCAGACACTGGAAAAATACTATGTTCATCACACAATATTTATCCAGTAGCGGGGATCGAACCCACACCCTCTGGCGCAGGAGGCAGGTACACTACCCACAACGCCATTCGGGTCGTCAAATGTGTCTATGTATAATTGTTTGGCACGCTCTGCAGCCTCAACGGCTTGATGGATTTTAGCTTGAGTGGTGTCGTTAGATTCGTGTTTTCAGCGAGAGTGACACTGGGTGTATGAAAATGAAAAATTACACAGAAACGCAGTCGGGTTTTTTTATTTTTTTTAATTATGTTCTACTTGTCCGAGATCTTTGTTTTCGTAATTATACTATGTAAGGTTGTTCGTGTTCCGGTGACATATAGCGAGCGACATCTCACAAAAGTCGAATGCGATTTACGAAATGGCGCTATATTCGAAATGGTAATTTGTTTGGGTAAATTTTGTCATGTCTTAGGAAAGACATATGACAGACATATAAACTTTAACATTTTACCCCGGAAAAATTCCCTTTAAGAACATAGCGCCATCTCGTAAATTTTACACCTTACCGAGCGGAATCACGCAAAAATCTAGATCTCAAAAAAAAAACCTTTCTATCACGCCCTGTATATATTATCGAGCAAATCCGATTTCAGACAAAAAACCTATTTTGCTAGACATTTAGTGGTGTATCCTACGCATGTCAGGGATTTTTTCAGTGTTTGACATTGACTGTAGAAATGCAGAAGACTTAATGGTTTTTTAATTTAATCTATTCATAACAGTCTGTGTCTGTGTCTGAGTGTGTCTGAGTCTGAGTCTGTGTCTGAGTCTGTGTCTGAGTCTGAGTCTGTGTCTGTCTGTGTGTTTTTGTACGCGCGTGTGTGTGTACGTATGTATGTATGTATATATAAAGTATGTGAATGAATACAATTTCTATGATAATACACAAAGTTGGTCGAAAACTGTAATGTAATGTTCATTTGTAAAGGTCACAAAGCATATGAATGGGTTGAATGAATTTAAAAGAGACAAAACATTCGGTTACAAGGAGAGACTTGTAACGCGACGTTGTGGCAACGAATGAAAAAGTCTCTGAATGTATGAATCTGTCAGTTGTAGCTGTATAGGATGGTACAAACTTCGTTTCTTTTTAATTTATTTAGCGTGTTTGACAATTATTTTTTTTAACGTTTACATTTTTTATGATCGTTTGCAAGTAGCGTTGGCGGTGTTTTCATTTGTCGTCGCGTTCGTAACCCCATGCCGTATATCATACGTGCACAAATATCAGCTATCTCACCCAAGTGCCGTCACCCGGATCCTCTCGGTTGATGAGTTTTCGTATCTTCCGCTAGGTTCATCTGCGACCATTGCAACAAGCGATTCGCCGATAAGACCAAGCTGAGGGACCACATTGAGGAGAAGCACCTGCACAGGGTCTACCACTGCCAGATCTGCAACAAGGTCGGCACATGCATTATTACGTATTCACTTAGGATTAGAGCCGTGATAGCTCAGTGTCCGGGCGCTCGCCTTTATTTCAATGTACTCAGCAAGCTGAGTTCGATCCCCGGTGCCGGCACCAATGGAGTTTTTAACTTTAAGTGCTGACTTATCACGTGCTCCGCGTTGAAGGAAAACATCGTGAGGAAACCTGGCATATTTCCGAAAATAATTACAAAAAAAAAATATTTTTCGAAGATATGTGAAGTCCGCCAATCCGCAGTGGGGCCGGCGGACCCTCTGTATCCAGGAGGCCTTTGCCCAGCTGTGGGACATGTATAGGCTGTTACTTTACTTTTTTTTAACTTAAATATTTTGTATTGCTAATTTTTTGCAACTCGAGATGAAGCATTAAAATTTCTAGACGAAAAAAAAGTGGACGAAAAGTTTTTCAACATGCATCATCACGTATCAACTTAAGATTTTTATATTGCTAATTTCTACAACTCAAGATGAAACATTAAAACTTCTAGACAAAAAAAAATGGACGAAAAGTTTTTCAACATGCATTATCACGTATCAACTTAAGATTTTTATATTGCTAATTTCTACAACTCAAGATGAAACATTAAAACTTCTAGACAAAAAAAATTCTACAACTCAAGATGAAGCATTAAAATTTGTAGAAGAAAATGGACGAAAAGTTTTTCGCCGCTCCGGGAATCGAACCCACGTAGTCAGGATTCGCGCCCGGGACGCTTTAACCGCTGAGCTGAGACGAGACGGCCGATTGTCACACCGAGGAAAGTCAACGTATAATGCGTTGCAATTTTTTTTATTTTTATTATCTTTATTTTTATGGGGTTTTTATCTATAAAGATACGCCACCCCCATCGTGACTTTTACAGATCACAACAACTTACGAAATGCGAACCCTTAAATGTATATAGATTTATTAAACCTTGAATTACTATTTGTTGATTTGAACAAGGCCAAAAATACGTTTTATTGTTTCACTTTTGGGATTCGACAATGTATTAAATATAAGCCCAACATCTAAATACATAGTTTTTTCGCATTTCGAGCAATGCTGGGCATCTAATGTTTGTTAACATCTCCTTTAAGGCACAACAATTAGTTTCAAATAGGGCTTCGCAACGCTAATACGTCTGGCGTCTCCATTGATGACTTTATTTTTAGTCTTTTTTTATGCGAAAAGTTGTCAAACGAGCAGACGGTTCACCTGATGTTAAGTGAATACCGCCGCCCATGGACATCTGCCACACCCGAGGGTTACAGATGCGTTGACAACCTTTTGAAAATTGAGCTCCGGTCACCTCTCTCATCATACGAAACGCGAAAGTATATGTCATAATTCCACTTTACGCTGGTCTTCTGTGAGGTCGTGGTAATTACCCGGAGGGGCCTGCCCATTCGTGCAACAGCCGATGCTGCTGCGTGCCCCTACCACCGTAAAAAGTTGTAATATATAAGCAAATTATAATTCTTACTCTCTATTTTTTTTCAATCGATATTTTTTTGTCATTTTATTTTTTGGTTTATTGTTACTGCACTGTAAGTTTATTCTAATCGGATTTAATATTTTTTCTGTTTTTCGGTGTTTGTGGTGTTCGCCTGTAAATGTTCGTCACATATGTAATTTACTATGTTTTGATGTTTCATCTTATGATATATATCTATCGATATGTCGGATATAGGTCTTAGAAAACCCTCTGTCCAAAAAAATTCAAGCTAAAAACTTGACACTCATAAAAATATCAATATCGCCTTCGATATATCGAAGAGAAAATATCGATATACGACTAGTCAGATACCTCTATCCATCCTAGGACCTAGCCTAGAAACCGCTTTGTTCAAAAAGAAAAAGGTAATGTCAAAGTATTAAATACTTGACACCTGCTGATTTTGCCGGATGCGAATAAAAAAAAAATATCGTTTTCCATTTTCGATGTTAAATATTTTGTATCGATATATCGACATGTCGATATTTCCCCGACATCCCTATTCCCGGCCTTACGTCCGCAGGCCACGAAGAACCGCGTGGGGCTGGACCAGCACGTGCGCTACGTGCACCGGGGCAGGCCCAACAGCAAAATGTGCCACTACTGCGGGAAGGGATTCCCGGTGAGACTGTCGCAGCTTTCCGGGCGAATGTACACCCGACTCCGAAAACGGAGGAGGCTCCCAATTCGACTGTACTTTTTTATGTCTGTTACATAAAAAAATACAGTTGAATTGTACTAACATAACTTTTCGACTGGGTGAATCGAATTGGTTTTCATTTGAAAGCCGCCGCTTCCCATGTGGTCCCGGTAATTTCATTGGCATTGGATCTTGGGCTCCGTACTTGGGAACTCCTGAAAATCAATTATAAAATGAATACAGAGCGAGATATTTGAAGTCGGTTTTCCTTTTTGTTAGTAAAAAATTGACTTGTTACACAACTTTCACTAGTCCCAAACTGAGCAACGCTCGTACTATGAGTACTAGATAACCGATAAACATACTTAAACATACTTTTCTCTTGTAAGTAAATACATATTATACATATATAAACACCCGGACATTGGAAAACACTGTGTTCATCACACAATAATTTTTCCAGTAGTGGGGATCGAACCCACACCCTCTGGCGCAAGACCACCACCCACTGCGCCATTCGGGTCGTAGTACACTGTTCTATAATATTAATTAAAAACAATGTATATAAAAAAAACACGACTTTTATTGATGGTCTGATTTCTCCCGTGGCTTCGCCAGACAAAGGTGCAGCTTGAGTCCCACATTCGGACCCACACCGGCGAGAGGCCCTTCATTTGCGAGTACTGCCCAACAACGTTCTCGCAGAAGTCGAACCTCTACAAACACAACCGGCAGGTAAGTTAAATTGCCCTGAGCAAAGCGCAAGTTAAATTCCCCTAAGAAAAAGGTAAGTTAAATTTACCCAGATTAAAAGGTAAGTTTAATTCCCCTGAGTAAAGGAAAATTCCCCCGAGTTAAAGGTAAGTTAAATTACCCTGAGTAAAAGGTAACTTAAATTCCCCTAAGTAAGGGTAAGTTAAATTTCCCTAAGTAAGGGTAAGTTAAATTTCCCTAAGTAAGGGTAAGTTAAATTTCCCTAAGTAAATGATGAGTTAAATTCCCTGTATAAAAGTTAAGTTAAATTCCCCTGTGTAAAGGGTGAGTTAAATTCCCCTAAGTAAAAGTTAAATTAAATTCCCCTAAGTAAAAGTTAAGTTAAATTCCCCTAAGTAAAAAGTTAAGTTAAATTCCCTGAGTAAAAGGTTAAATTAAATTCCCCTAAGTAAAAGTTAAGTTAAATTCCCTGAGTAAAAGGTAAGTTTAATTCCCCTAAATAAGTAAATGCAAACAATCCATATTACTCCGTGGCGCTATTGCCAAGATGACGACTTTCTCGCTGGGGTCGTGGTTTCGATTCCCACACGGGACAACTATTTATTTGACCCTCAACAATTGTTTCGGATCTGGGCGTTTGATCACGTCAAATTTATATACGTAAAACGTCCCTGCAACACAGGATAATGTTATCGGGCAATTTTATAGAAGGGAGGACTACAATAGATCGCAGAGTTCGCTGGTACCTACTACCCAACCCCTTCCACATAAAATATAAAAATATATATCATACACCTGTGGTAAGGCCACGTCTGTTCTGTTCCACGAATGGGCAGGTCCGTCCGGGGGACACCACGATCTCACAGAGGACCGGCGTGAAGAGGAGTTGTTGTATTTCTGCGTTTCGTCCGTTGGGTGAGGTGGACGGGGAGAACTTTATTAAAAATTGTACGTGGAGCCCCTCCGCTCAGAAGAAGTGAAACTTCGTAATGTGGAAATGAAAATAGGAAGGGGTAGAAATTCATTTTTGGTGGAGTCACATTGTTTCTTTAAGACAAACTTTTATTAACATTGCTTACAATTCACAATTAAAAAAAATGTAAAATAAATGGAAACATTAAATATATTTAAATTATTCACAATCGCATGCTTTCACTCTTGCTCCGTTTCTTTGTATTCCCCCTCCCGAGTTTATGGAAGTATGGAAGTTTCACTTAAAAAGGCCGCAATGCATCTGCAAAACCCTACGGGTGTTAAAAACCTCCATGGGCGGCGATTTCCGCTTAACATGAGGTGAACCGCCAGCTCGTTTGCCGCCTTCTCACTAGAAAAAAAAATGAAAAATGCAATGCGATTTACTCGAAAAATATGAGTGCCTTTAATTTGTGTCCGTGACACTTCTTCGACGGAGCCATTCCACTCAATTTGTGCTGCAGCTAAAGCTTTTCCAGGTGCACCTGAACATCAAGTCGAAACGCCACCCGCTGTGCAAGAAGAGAAGGGAAGAGAGCAAGGCCACAGAGCCTAACGCTCTTCTAGCTGCCGAGGACGTCAAGCAGCCAGAGGGCAGGGCGATCAACTACTCGGAACAGCTGTTCGGAGAGAAGATGAGAAATCCCCACTTCACCGTCGACTGGTAGTCCACCGTTCCACGGAGAAGGAGAGAAAAGAAGAAGAGGAAATATATGCTGGCATAGAACCTCCTTTGTTGGTAGGGATGTTGGTTGGAGTGAAAAAAAATGTAAACTGGTTTTTCTCAGTTTTTTAAAAGAAAAAAAAAACTTTTCTGGTGTACCGCCCACTTTAGGAAAAATTGATTACCCAACGACCGAACCCCCAGAAATTATTCAAATTTTTTACAGAAATTTATATTAATAACGTAGGCTGTTTAATGAACTTCTCCTTGAACGAGTGAAATGTCTGGAAACTGTGACCGCAACTGTTTTTCAACGTGCTGTTGCGATCGCCCCCTGAGATAGTCCCAGCGCCCACTGGAGGGCGATCCCGCCCACTTTAAGAACCATTGCATTACATACATTACAACATTGCGTGTAGCAGATAAAGGTAATTGCCTTTTATTGATTATTGCTGAGGTAAATATAACTATAATTAGGAAAAATATAACCTGATCAGGAAATATACAGGATATTTCCTGATCAGGTTATATTTTTCCTGACGGTTAAGTACATATTCTGATGTGTTAATGTGTTTCCTTGTCAATCGGATAGTATGCATATTTTATTTATCCGGAACAATCTTACGTAATACTCAAAAACGCAACAAATATATCTCTGATTAACGCAATATTGAAAATTAAATTATAAATGACATTATTTATACATTTTAGCAATAAGATTACTCATTTTTTACTGTAAATAAATCATGTTTTAAAATTCATTATGGTTTTTATTTTTGACAGTTTGAATAAATATACTTTGTGAAAGGCATCTTCTAATTTTAACTTTCCATGAGATAAGCTTATTTGCAGTTACAAAACCTATACATACTACCTATATATACCTGTACTCGGTACTATCATTTGCTAAATATTTACTGAATATTAGAATAAAATTTTAAGATCGTATGTAAAAAAAAATAATGTGAACCCGATACAGAATATTTAAACGAAACAAACACTACCTTACAGTCAGTTAAATAAAGGTTGATTGACATACAACTATGGATTTCGCATATGAAATCCCGTATTTTTGAAACAATACACAATGTACGTATTTCGTAATGTCACTTTTAGGAAATCCGCCGTTTAGCTTAGTGATTAAAGCGTCAGGCAGCAAATGACGAAGACGTGGGTTCGATTCCCACAGCGGCGACAATCTTTTCGTACTTTTCTACATATTTTAATGTCACTTTAGTTTATTAATGTCAATGTCCCGCGTATCATCGTATATTAAACTAACTGAAAGTAGCCGTCACTAATAATTCACACAATTTAAAAGCAACATAATTCAGGTTCTATTTAAAAATATTAAACAGCAACTTATGAAATTTATTATTTGATAAAATTAAAAATTTTAATTATACATAATAATCATTTATGCATAATAATGAAATTAAAACGAACATAATTCAAGATCTATTTCAAATGAAAATTGGCTAAATAAAATTTATACCACCATTTGAATCAACAAAATAAAAGTAGTTAAAATACTTACGTTTTTATTTGTTCAATCTAATCATTACAAAATACAGGGATCTGTAAATTGTTTCTACAATAATTCCTAAACCATCAAAGTATGGTCACGTACAATATAGGGGGACCTTTTTAGTGAGTAACTGAGTTAAGTGAGATTTTACAACCAAGTAAAAGAAAGTTTTACCACAAGGGAGTTGTCCAGGGATCGAAATATGTGTTCATCCGATGGCGCGAACAGTTAACAACTTCGTGACTTTATATCTGCCACCATCACTAATGTCATATCACCATCGCTTTATGGTAATGCGCCGTTATGTTTGTTGTTATCCTTTTTGAATAATATACGGTGAGGCTGCTGCATGGATGGGCAGGCTCGTCCGGCTAAGTACCACGACCTCACAAAAGACCGGCGTAAAGTGGAAGTATAATACTTTCGCGTTTCGTCTGGTGAGTGAGGTGGCCGGAGCCCAATTTTAAAATGTCGTCAACGCATCTGTAACCCACGGGTGTAACAGATGTCCATGAGCGGCGGTATTCACTTAACATCAGGTGAACCGTGTGCTTGCTTGGCAACTTTTCACATAAAAAAAATAGATAATAGAAAACATTGTTTCTTTATCCAATTGGAATTCTATTGTGGTAGATATAAAGCGATCTTAGATAATTTTTTGTTGTTACAAGGGTAATAACACACAAACGCATCGTAAACGATCAGCAAAAAAGCGCACCGGAAAAAATGGCGGCAAATTTGACAAGAGGTCGCGTTCCATTTCGTCTCCTAATTTGTATGTTATGTGACACGCGCGGTGTCGAATTGCGTTTTTTGTCTGTATTGTTAGAGTTCCTTGGTATATGAAATTGTATAATGTTAATATATCATTTCTTTTTTTTAATTATATTTAATAATCTGCAAAAATATCTAGTTTCTTGCTACATGACCGTAGACACAATATTTACTTCCCTATGCAAAACTCCGCATATTAAAATAAAAGAAAATTAGTTTTAATTTATAAAATCATTTAAAAAGTATAATCTAAAGTTAACATAATTATATACAAAAATGCGTCAACCCTTGTACTTTTTGGTCTCCATGCAAAATCAAATACAAATTATGGACCCTAGCCCAATATAGTATATAGAAATAATTATAGTAATTTTAAAAAATATTTAGTTCAGCTCAGTGGATGGAGCTTCGGGCCCGTATCCTGGAAGACGTAGGTTCAAATCCTCGCAATGACGGAAAACTTTTCGTCCCCCATTCTAAAAAAATTACCATTTTATCTTAATTTCAGAAAAGCACTATCAAAAAAGTATAATAGGAGCTAATGTCAAAATAAAATATGGGACCCTACGGAACCGTTCCGATATAGACAGCAGTCTACGCCTAATCAACAAAGCGTGTGGGCAATTTAACGTCCCCGGGGCAAAGGCGTGTGCCGAAAGAGCAATTGAAGTTTTATTTACGATTTCTCACTTCCCCTAAAACGTGTTAAAATCTCTATTGGGTGTCACAAATTGAGGAAAGAAGACTCAGTGGCCGAGTGAGTGTTGCGCGGTCTGGATTCGAAACTCAGGGTCGTGTAATGAGATTTGTTATTCGGAAATTTGACGAGCTTAACGTCTGGCATTCGTGCCGCTGTACGACAGGCTTGCAAAATAAAAACGTAAAAATATTTGTACATAAAAAAAATGATTTTTTTTTTAAACTATTGCATAGCTTTTATCGCGGGCTTTGAGCGCGGCGACCGTATCGTCCGTAACGAAAATAAAACCTAACACCCCCCCATTCCGCCTACCATGGAGCTCGGGCGAGTGTTCGCTTATCGTGTATGTATATGGTACGACTGTACGAAGTTCGTACAGATAGATATTATAATACGATATTATAATATTATATTATCATATGATGATATGATATTTAGAGGATATCAAGTCTCAAACTTATGTTTCTTATATCAGTTACCATAAACCTATAGTTTCGATGTTGTTGTTGTAAGATAATAAAATATTTTAAACGATAATAACTTCTGATTAATTTAATAAAAGAAAAAAATTGTTTTCTTATCGGTCACCACGCTCAAAAAGTGTGACTTGAATTAATATCTCTTTCACGCAAATACTACTGAATGGATTTTAATGAAACTTTTTAGTAATATACCTTATACATCAGAATAACACATAGGCTATAATTTATATACATATTTTTATGTATATTGATTGTTTTTAACAAATTTTCACATAGTTTTCCTGTCTTTATTTAGTTTTTAATTATTTTTCCTTTTTTTTTTAAATTTGAATCCTGCATAAACAACGAAACACACGCTTCGTTTCGATTCAAATAGTTTTGGCAAATGTTTGGTGAGTTTAGGGGATTTATTTTGTTTATAATCTTTTATGATGTTGATTTTTAAATTACGTTATCTATTATTATATCGTATTTAGGGGCGTTAATTTATAGGCCAGTTTCACTATCAACGATGACAAGCGAATAAAATTACATTGTGATAAGACATGGATATTATTAGTCGATAAAGAAAAAATTTTGAAACATTGCAACGTAGAAATATAAAAAAAATAGTATTAAATTGCTAGGGAGGTTATAAATTATAGTAGGCAGTAAATCAGATGTCAATTAGTAGTAAATTACAAGTTGGTAATTTAGTACGGACACATTTCATTATTTAAAATTGGTCTATTTATTTATTCTATTCTTTCCCAATGCCTTTGATACACGTATAAGAAAACCGGGCTTATATTTTTATTTATGAAGGAATAGTAATAAGTATGTTAGAAAATCTGTGCAAATCTGCAGAAAGTATCGCCGATCTCTAGAGCTGCCAAAACTAAAAACTGGCATTATCCTAATGTAGGACGACCCCCACTAGATAGAGTGACGACCTGTACAGCAGTGGACTAAAGTATGGTGAAATGATGATGATGATAATTTGAATTGCATTAAAAATGATAAACTAGTCAACCGTAATCGATATAGATACTGTTTAATGTTGATTTCCTTTAATGTCATTTCTTTATAATATACTATCTGTGTCCGCGGCTTTGCTCGCGTTGAAGCTCTTAAATATAGGTCTTTTCTTTTCCAAAAAAAGGAGGGGGTTTCTCAATTCGACCGTATATACTCTTATTATTTTATGTGTGTTCGGGGATAACTTCTTCATTAATGAACCGATTTTGATGATTCTTTTTTTGTTGCAAAGGAGATATCCCAAGGGTGGTACCATGATAAGGAAACTCAAATCTGATGATGGCATCCCAGAGAAATCGAAGGCAATCTTTAAATGTTATAGGTGTTGACTATGTTTTTATTAGTTTTCTGTTTGAAGTCTGTTTTTGTTTGTCCAAAATTATTAATTTTCTGATTGAAATTTATATGTTAAACCACGTTTAAAACTGCGGTTGACACGGCCTCCACTCTGACAATTCAATTATCAAAATGGTGTCGGCATGTCTAAACATTAAGGGGAGCGAACAATGGCGCGATATCGACTCGATTGCGGTTTTGTGTTACGCAGATAATAATGCAATTACGCGATAAGCTATGGAAGCGGTAATGGGTTTGTAATTCAGTTATTATCTTTATCAACAGGGCGTTTCGAAGAAGCTTTTGGATATTTACTGATTTGGAAATGGCCTAATATGTTAATGGCGTTCTTCACATTGACATTCTACCTTATAAAATACATTGAAAAAAACATTTTGAATAAAAATGATATATAAATATATTGAAAAAAATTCAATACTTACACTCTTCATAACAATACAAGTTTAATATAAAAAAAAATTAAGTGTCTTTTTATTAATTCTAAAAAGGTTTTGATATCGATAACTGATACGATACATAAATAAATTATAAAATGATATTGCCTGTCTGTCCGTTTGAAAGTTTGTGTCGTGTAAATTTCGAAACGTTAAGCCGATTTCAATGAAACTTATAAGCTTTAAAACGATATTAATTTAAACTTTTCAACGCTTCGGAAGATATGAGCATATATATACAGCGTTCGTTAAAAAATATTAAAAAATATATTGTCGTTAAAAAAAAAAAAACAAAATTTGTCCCTATAAACTTAAAAAATATACATTTTTTCAAACACACTAACAGTAATTAAAGAAAAAAGAAACAAAATTTGTAACATCCGTATACAAAATACGACTGAGTAATTCATATATATTCAGAGACTTTTTTAGCGCTGCCTAAACCGTTGAGGCTACACGAAGATAATGTATCATGGAGTTGTCTTAAACAGTCGCATAAATACAAGTCTCATTTATCAGATAGAGCTAAGCAACATAGTTCTTCTAACAGTGGCAAAAAGTTCGACCATTGATGTTTTAAGCCTTTTTGGAAATATTCGATCAACATATTTTCATAAAAAAAACTACAAATTTTTTTTCATTTCTAGTGAACACGTCCTTATGCTTTTTGAAAATAAAAATAAGAAATGAACTAAATTGAAATGTGACCCTTATGCTTTTGAAAATTGTCATGCTTGAATGTGACCTTACGGAAATGTATCAAACAATGCTACTATTTCTCACAATTTTGGATACTTCCGCGTGAGCAGAAAGATCGTTCAGTAAATTAAAGATTAAGGCAAATTATTTAAGACACAGCATTGGACAAATAGCCTTCGAAATTTAACATTAATTGCATTAGAAAACAAGGCAGCATCAAACTTGGATTTGAGTTGAAGTTGAAGTTATAGACGGATTTGCAAAAATTAAAATTAAAATTTTTTTAGTGCTAATCTTTGCACTGAAGATGTATATTAAAATTTGTAGAAAATAGGACGAAAAGTTTCTCGCCGCACGAATCAAACGACTTCCGGATTTCTTTTCTCTTTTAATTAATGTCTTATACCATATAAATATATTAAATATAATGTATACCTATCTAAGTATTATTTCATATTGTCATGTGCATCGTTGTTTATTTATACCCATTTTCCTTCATTAAGCACATAGGGATCTAGGCCTACGAAAAAATTTATGCCACTATATTCTTTTCTTATCCTTATCTATAAGTTTCAGGGCCAATCGGTCAATATAAGTTCAAGGTACCTAGAAAGAGGGAGTAGGGGGGCTGGTTTTTTCTCTTTGCACCGGGACCCTTGTCCACCTAGCTACGCCACTGATTTAAAAATAAAAAAAGGGAAACAGTTATTCCAATTTTATTGTAAGTTTTCACTTCTGTCGGCAGTATGGGTCTGCTTTTTTTTAATAATGCTTCTAATCGCACTTCTTGTGTTTGCCGCCTTTATTGGCGGCCTGCGCGGTGCTACTGGCCGCGGCCTTCGCTTTCTTGCCGCTGGCAGCGCTTGAAGCGGCCGAGGCTGCTGCAGCATCGTTCGAGTCGGAAGAGCTCGCAGCGCTGGCGCTGCTGGCGGCGCTGCTGTCGTCGTCGTCGTCGTCTGAATGCTCGGGCTCGCTCGGTTTCTTTGTGGGGTTGGGCTCGATTGTGGCCTTGCCGCAGTCGTCATGGTCATTCGGTTTCGCGGTAGTGGTCGTGCTGGTGGTCGTAGTCGTGGTCGTGGTCGTGGTCTTCTCTTTGCCCGGCTTTTTTTTGCAGCCTGTTGCGCATGGTCAGTTTAGGTAGAATCAAGTTAATTAATTTTTCCGGGTGAATTAAGAATTAATTCTATGCAGTGATCGTGTTATTGATGTCAATTTTAATTAGAAACACTTAAGAATTACAGTTTTTTAGTATTCCTGGTTTTTTCGTTACGATGTGTACAAATTGAAACCTATAATATTATCTGTGTTTAATATAATCATAATATAATCGTATAACTACATCGTCTGATGAGAAATGAATTGAGAGGTTTTATTAAATTGTCAAACACAAATAGGGAGGCGTAAATAAAAGCGAACTAAATTTGGTGATGCTCTGTCAATATTAATAAATGATATAGTGTACATATCAATATCATTAACTTTAATAATTTGTATATTCTCTTCGGTTAAATTTTATTTTTGTTTTACTTTTATTAAGGCATAAATATAAGAACAAAACCTGTAACTAAAAATTATATATATAAATGTAAGTATATGTTAAGCTGTTGGTGTACCTTAATAAATAAATACATTCACATGAATACAACAGAATTTTATATGTCCATTATTATTATATATTATTCTTCCTCAAAACCCAATCAATCTGACATTTTAAAACTGCTTGGTGGCAATCTCTAACCCATGCGACTTTGGCCATACATTTTAATTTATCGATGATTATCAAAAACGCGTTAAATAACAGGGTTCGTCTTTTGTGTGAGGCTTTCTCACGTATACTGTAGTTGGCCGCTATTTACTTACAATCGGTTAAGACTTGATTTGCTGCCACTTTGACACATAAAAGATTACTGACGACGGAGTAGAAAGACTAAAATATTCGTTCAAGAGTTCCGTGCAAGCAGAACTTGAACAATTATAAAACTTTTGAAAACACTTTTAAAGTTCCCCATATGGACAAACAGAAATTGGGTAATGGTACAAATTCCGTAAAGCTACATTAGCACTGGCAGTCTATAAAAGTTTTAGGCTATTTTTTTTTAAATATACCCATATTTTTTTTTAAATATGGGTATCCATATTTAAAACCCCGTTGGCAAAAACATGGTCATGATACTTGTTCCTCTTTGTGATTTATATAAATATTTCATCACTTCATACCTGGCAACTTGAAGGCTGAAAAGAAAAAAAAACAAGTTCACATTAATTTTGTTGTCTTTTAGGCGAATATAATTTTAAATTAAAAAAAACTATGACACTCACTCGGCATGGCGTAAGCGACCACCAGCGTCTGAAATGGGACAAATTAAAAATTAAAAATGAAAATACGATTAAGGTTTCATTTCGTAAAATTGTAGAAAGAGACAACACAATACTAATATACCAACAATACTAATAATAATTACCAAAATAATAATAATTACCAACAATACACATCTTGTTTATTCAAGATATGTGTACGCTTAAGATAACTTCAATTGACATAGAAGCTTATTCCAGCTAACCGATTGACGTCTTTTGTGATCGGTAGTATAGATAAAAGTAGTTAGTATAAAAATATTGGTTGACTTTGAATATCCTAGAAAAAGGAGGAAAATGCAAAAGTAAGGCGAACGGTCAAGTATTAACACTCTTATAGTGGTTTAATTTAGTTGGAAGGGACGGGGTCTGTCTCAACATTATAATAAGAATCTGTCATTTATTAGTCAATCTAAATAATCTGTCAATTACTTTGATATAACGTAACGTACGTATAGTACTTTTTTGCCTCATTACAAGTAATTAAAACGTTTATGAGTTTGATATCTTTCAAGATCTTTTAATTACAATTGCACTTGCATCGTCCCTATCATGTTTACACATAAGATATACCTAACGTTATATAGATATAGTGCGAATTTTGTGGGTGTGCGTGTATTCTGCGTTAAATTCCGAAATCACTGCGCCTATTTGTAAAATACTTTTAACAATTTAAAGGTTGCAATATTAGATGGAATAGTAGACTACATATCATCGATATACAAGTAACAGTCTATATATCCCGCTCTGGGGCAAAGACCTCCTCTCCTCTGTACAGATGAGATTAGGGCAAGAATTTGTCGTTGTGCAAGTAATGTTATTTAGAATCATTATCCAAATGAGCTAACACTTACCGCGACAAACAGCAAAATCACAATCTTCTTCATATTGGGATACCTCTAAGAACTACTAAAACACAGCGGCTCCGAGCTTTTTATATGCAGTTGCATTAAACCTGTCGAAGCTGTGCAAATACACTTGAATCATTAATAATAATGCACTGAAGACAAATAAAGAAAATACAGTAAAAAATATGTAAATATTTAATTCCAATTTTTCACTCTACATTGTTTTTATTAGGTGCATTGCACGAAGTACATAAAGGTCAGATAAGGTGAAAGTTTCGATGCAATAAAAAATGCTTGTGAAACAAAATGGCGTGTTTAATTATCCTTAATATTATTAGTTGGTACAATGTTAAAATTGCTTTTTTATAGTTTAAAATGATAATATATTTATACTATGAATTTAAAGTAACAAAAAAGGTTTTTTGTTAGGATATGTATCTATTTTGTTCTTTTTTTAATTCCGCGATTGCAAAGAAATCTTGCAGCCGTGATAGCTCAGTGTCCGGGCGCTCGCTTTTAGTTCAATATACTCGAGCAACCTGAGTTCAATATCCGGTGCCGGCACCAATGAAATTGTCAATTTTAAGTGCTGACTCATCACGTGCTCAGCGGTGAAGGAAAACATCGTGAGGAAACCTGCATATTTTCGAAATAATAACAAAAAAAAATATTTCGAAGATATGTGAAGTCCACCAATCCGCAGTGGGGCCGCGTGGTGGACAATGCCCTGATACCCTCTGTATAGAGGAAGCCTTTGCCTAGCAGTGGGACATTTATAGGCTGATACTTTATACTTTAAAGAAATCTTGCTGCATAATAAAACATATCCGAGAACAATTTTAGATTTTTTTTTGGTCTTTTGACGTAAACTTCTTCTTTTATCGAGATACTCGTATAAATGTACATGGTCATAACGAAAACGGAAAATATTCTAACCGAATTACAAGCGAAGTTTAATGTATCGGATATTAACGTCATTAGATGCAGTAATTTCCCATTAGCGGGAGACGAAGATCTCGTAATGCTGAGCGGTTTGGGGCGGAGCCAGAATATGTAGTATAACTATTGGTCGGTGGTTCCTTACGTTTCTCGTGAAAGAAGGTCTTATATCGTTGGAGTAGTGTTGCAGAGAAAAAAAAGATTCACTAGGGATTAAATACACTTAATTATTATTATAATCCAGTTAAATAAAACAACTTATATTCATTTTGTAAAGTGTGATATTTTTTAAAATTTAAATCACATTATTAAGACGTTTCTGCGTTTTATGCACACTTAGAGGTTAATGAATTGATATTTTAGGTTAGAAAGTGTTTTTTTTGGTTACCTTATACTAGGGTTGAGGACAGACTCTAATTTCTTCTTAATATCAATAGATTTGCTTCGTTCCTTAGGGGCTTTAACAAAAAGTATTACTGTATCTACTAGAAAAAAAAAACGTGTACGAAACTATTTATGATTTTTTTGGAACCGATCATAACTAATTAAAGTTTTTAAAATCATAAATAATATCAATAAAGAATAATCTGATAAAATTAATTTATTATCAGATCTTACTTTGTATTGTCTATTACTTTCGGAAATGAATGACAATACAATAAGTTTTAAAGTCCAGTTTCCGCCCGAAAGCAGCCTCTGAAAGATGATGTCGGTTAAGCCTTTCTCATCCGAGATTTAGGCGTGTCAGGGATATTTGGCTCCACCCAGCGTTGATACGAGGGCGACTAACAAATAGGGAGTCAGTTTGAATCCGACGGGCCGATACTCGGGCGCGAGACACTAAATAAAAGAGGCATGTGAGCCGAGCGAGACGAATTTTTCGAGTTTATAAAATCGTTTGACAACGGGCGCGTCAGAACAGCTGTGCGTTGACCTCCATTTTGGGAGTTCCGTCCGACGTTGCGCATATTGCTTTTTTTTGGCGCCGAAAGCCGTTCTGTTTTTGACATAAAGATAAATATTTAAATAATACCTACGGAACGGACAGTTATATGTTTTCTGTGTTTTTATTTTTTAGTCTGTGAATTTACAAATTAATTTAATATCGGTGAAACGTGTACGATGTGGTTTTAATTACTGTGTTAATTTTTAAAATATATTATATTTGTCGGTAAGTTATTTTTTACTCTATGGCTTATTATTGCAGTCGATTATGCATATTTGAATTGAATGAGATACCAATCTTATAGAATTATATTAAAGCTAATAAACAATATATTTTAAAACTGAAAGATGTAGCATCTGTATAAACAAATGAATTAAATTATGGCACATGTTCAGAATACACATTTAACGCATAACAGAACACACGATAATATTAAGCATTAATTATTCATAAGTAGTTAACTATAATTAGGTCTTTATATTTTACCTAACAATAACCGACTCATGTTAAATATCGCCGTGTAAGCAGAACGTTTTAGAATTATTGTTTCTTTTTTCTCTAAAAACATTACCGTATCCGTCACCTGTAGTTTGTATGACATAAATACTTCTTCTGCGTGGGAATCAAACCCACAATCAGACGCGCTGAAGCTAAGCGCGTCTGGTTGTGGGTTTAGTTCATATATTTAAATAAATAAAATGATAGAGTTCTGCTGGTGTGCGCATCACCGAAAAACTAATGGATCTGTATTCAATCTTCTAAGTTTTATATAGATCTTGGTCCTTATCTAAAACAAATGTACTAAAATCTTAATTAGTTTAAATTAATTAAATTGATTGTAAAGTTATTAAAGTTTTAAGGAACAACGATTTTTAAAAGCACTGTGACTATTTGATTTTTTCCTCTGCTCATAAATACATTGTTAATATAATAAGCAACGCAATATTTTCTGTGGTAGGACCACGTAACAGTCTTCGCTGTTGCATAAATGTGCATAAACTAGTATGTAGTGTCATTACAATTAAAGGCGCTGACAGCATGCAATATTATGTACAAAAATACAGTTAAAAAACAGTTGTCCGTTACAAAATCCAACGGTACAACAAAAGTTAATAAATATAAAAAAATATTGAGAATGAAAGGAACAGTAAAAAACAGACTAATAAGATTTTCAAGCCTTACAAGTAAACGGGGAGAACAAGAAATCTGTTTGACAATTATTGTTCACACAAAAAGTACACATATTTATATACACATAATTATAATTGCATACATATAGCTCATAAGAAACCGATTGAGTCTCGAAGTATCGAAACTGTGCCTGGATTCAATTTCATTTATTAATGATAGTTATGGGTTAGTTATTAGTTATTAGATATGATTTTAACGGTGGTAGGGCCTACAGCCTCGGCTGTTGCACAAATGGGCGGGCTGATAATACTTTCGCGTTTCGTCTGGTGGGTGAGGTAGCCGGAGCCCGATTTTCAAAAGGTTGTTAACGCATCTGCAACCCTCGGGTTAGGGGATGTCCATGGGCGGCGGTATTCACTTAACATCAGGTGAACGGTCAGCGCGCGTGGCAACTTTTCACAAATAAAAATACCCGCGGCTTGTCTGCTTATTATATTAACAACTGCAACACACATCACTTAACACGCAGTGTTAATAAAAATCGTGTCTAAACTTCAATAACTTTACATGAAATGATGAATATCTACAATATTTTTGTAGAAGTTTAAGTGCCGTAGTAATAAAATACACAAATGTATGTTCGTAGAAACACATCGATTTTATGCAATGTGTTTTAATTAAAACACTTGTTCCGCGTGGGAATCGAACCCACGACCCCCGACGCCGAAGCGAATAGCTTAGCATCGACGCCACTGAACACTAACGGTTATTCATAATATTTTTGTTTTTCGTTTTCATTTTTCATAGAAAAAAATAATAATAAAATTTCTTACTATCTATCTATGTGAACGCACCTTTATCGAAATTTGACAATGTCGCATATTCCTTTTTGGTTTCGAAAACACTTTAAAATAAGTGGACTGCAAAACTAGTAGTTTAACGCCCGGTATCCGAAACACCGATCATCGTGGTAATTAACTAATCAGTTGGCAAATGGCCTGTCGAATGTCATTCGATTTGCCAGAAGGATGGTTAAACTCTTTCAATTGATCAGAAACGATCGCCAATCATGGTCTCATCCGTAGCTTTATTACCGACTTTCCAACCGGGAGTGCGTTATTTCGGCGGGCTCGGCGGCTTGGTGACCCGCTTAACGTAAACAGTCGAATAGCCCGCCCGAAACGTGCTCGCCACGTGTGCCACGTGTGGAGATATCATTAAAGCTATCCGTGGTCACACGGTGCACTGGTGCCAAGGTCGACGCGAGTAGACTTCGACGGAGACGATTTTTTTTAGCGTTTCGGCTTGTTTTGAATCGAGCCGCGGTAGCTCAGTGTTTGGGCGCTTTCAATTCAATATACCCGAGCAACCTGTGTTCGAATCCAGGTGCCGGTAACAGTGTATTTGTTAATTTTATACGACCTTATGGCGTAGTCGGTGACCCTACCTCTTGCGCCAGAATGTGTGGGTTCGATCCCCACTACTGGAAAAATATTGTGTGATGATCACACACCGCCCTACCACAGTTAAAGTTAAAGGCACACAGACAAGTCGCGGGAAACTACGAATTATAAATATCCCAGTCGACGGCCCGTAGGCTATATCCTCCTTTACGATACTGCCACAGTCTAATTGCATGGTTGCCTTATTTCGTGTAAGCCCTGCCTTCCTACTAGCTATGCACGATGCTTTATAGTCTACGGACAGAAAGCGCCAGCATTTAAACACAAGTCGAAAAAGTTGGGTCCTAGCGTGGATCTCTTCTACAGCTTATCGTTTATACAAACTCATGATTCATCTCGGCCATAAAGGGAAAACATTAATCAACAAAAAGTTAGTATATGAATGCCTTCTCTCTTTGTACTACATCAAGAAAACTTTATGTGATTCAACTTCTGATTCATTGGCTAGATTTTTTTTTTTTTACTTTATTGTACACAGTTATAATACAGGCAATCGGAACAAATGACAAAAACATGTACAAAGGCGAGCTTAACCTTAAAAAGAGTTCTCTTCCAGCAGACCCTTGAGAACACGAAGCCATACATTATTAAAGAATATACCAGAGTAATTGTAAAAATATACAAGAACTATATACTTAATATCAATATATATAAATATCTACATATAAATTTATATATAATAATAAAACAAAGACATATATACGAAGTTTAAATAATATATACAAATACATACCTACATACAATATAAATACATTACAAACATTTGTTGTCAATACTAAGTAGATAAGTAGTGTCTCTTGATTCTATTACGAAAAATGTCAAGGGAAGAGCTGGCACGTATGTCATGTGGTAGTGAATTCCATAACTTGACCGCCTTTACAGTAAATGACGCATCGTACCTTTTGGTGAAGTGAGTAGGTGTTTTGAGAAGAAGGGATTTCGTAGTCCGGCATTTAGTTCCACTAGGAACCAGATACTCAAACCGCTGACGGAGATAAGAAGGAGCTAAAGGATTAGATAGTAAGAAATAAAGGAAGGATGTAAGTTTCGACGTCTACGTATGGGAAGCCACTATAATTGTGCCCTGTAATCAGAAACATGATCAAACTTACGCAGGCCAAAAACGAATCGAATGCACAAATTTTGAAGTCGTTCCAGCTTGTTCAGTAATTCTTCTGTAGCGTCCTAGATGTAGATTAATTTTTTTTAATTTTAAATTTTTTTAAATTTAATTTAAACACAATTTAAAATTTACTAACTGACTAATAGTATTTATACCGTTGCTTCGTCAAGGTATTGAGGTATCGTATTTGTATTTTGTGTGGAAGGGCTTAGGTATGACCTAGAAAAATGTATAAAATATTTTTTTTAATATTTAGAACACATTTTACACAACGTTCTCTACTAACAAAGAAAGCAACGATTGTACTATGGGCACTAGATAACTGATAAAAATAGTTAAAAATGCTTTATTTATGTAAATAAATACATTAACACCTTATATATATAAACACCCAGACACAGGAAAACACCATTCATCACACAATATTTTTCCAATGGTGGGGATCGAACCCACACCCTCTGGCGTAGCAGGTGCTCTACCCACTAAGCCAATCGGGTATCAATTGTATTGTAGTCTTCCTTTAGAACACATTGGCCCCTTAATGTAGGATAACATAATCTTGTGTAAGGACGTTTTACATACATAAATTTCACATGGGCAAACAGTCAGTTTCGAAACAATTATTTGTGGGTCACACAAATAGTTGTGTCTTGTGTGAATCGAGCCACAATTATTATTCGTAGGTGACACAATAAGTTGTCTGGTGTTTGAATCGAGCCCACGACCCTGGGCGCAGAAGCTAATATCTTGGCAACTGAGCCATGAAGTCATCAATCGGGAGTGAGGTAACTGGAACACAAGCCTGTCATATCTCTAGTGTTGTTAGTGTCTGTTGGTTCCCTAATGCTCGGTTCATTTATTCAACGAACGGCCGTTGGTTACATAGCTTCGTAACTTTCATAACGACTTGTAGATTCAAGGAACGCTAGTATCTCGCTTTTGTTAGGTAATGCAACGGCTCGTAAGGGAAACGCCTCGTTCTGTTAATATAGAAACTGCGCGTACACGCGTTATCTACAAGTCGTTATGAAAGTTACGAAGCTATGTAACTAACTGCCGTTCGTTGAATGTCGGGCTAAAATCAGCCGATCCGCTTGCTCAGTTGTCGTGCTTTTGACTTGCCCAGTTGCCGTGCTTTTGACTTGCCCAGTTGCCGTGCTTTTGACTTGCCCAGTTGCCGTGCTTTTGAAAATGACTGAACGATGACGATAACAGGTCCGATGTCCAGCTACGGAAGTATGTCGCCTTCAGACGAGAGCTTCGACAGGTACGAGCCGCCTTTCTACTGTCAGCCGCCACATCAAGGTAAGTCATTTCGCATCTATCTCTTCTCTCACTCAACCTTTGTACGCCGGTGTTCACTGTAGGGTAGGACATTTGTGCGTGCTCAGTGACGGTTGCCCGACAAAGAGTACTTTGGAGTTCTACGTTGTTCCGCATTCCACTACGTAGTTTAGTTTAATAAAGGGGTGGTTCAGGTAAAATCACGCGCTAAAGTGTTATTTCGATAGTTCAAAATAGTGTTTGATACGGAGATATGTAATGTATTCATGTGGCAACAGTGAACACCGTTGCATGATCCCCACAGTTATCTACCACTTCATTAAAAGGTGGCAAGGCATCTGCAACCCAACGGGTGCGAATGTCAATTTGCGGCGGTTATCACTTACCACTAGCTGAACCGCCTTCTCACATAAAATATTACCCTAAGCAAAATCTAATCGATGCTATTTCTCAACAACTTTACCAGGCGTGATGGACGCAGGCGTGTACTGGCCGAACTCAAGCGAAGGTCAGGACTTCGACGCCCCAGACTTGTACCACGAGACGAACTATATTGGCAGGGGTTATGGTGAGTAGACGGATCTCGAGGTGCGAGATGGATCAGAGCGAGCGAGATTCTCTGGCAGATCTAGTTCAGTGAACCGATGGTAGTTTTCGACTCTCAATAAGAGCTTAAAATTTTTCTTTTTACTTTTTTTGTCACTAAATATTTACAATCTTTATTGATCTAATATTTACAAGATTAAATCTATCTAAAATTACATATTATCTAATAAACCTAATCCACGCGGCATGGTGCCAAGAACGCTAGCTGCATTTCATTTTTAGCTTAAAACAGGCCTATGTTCGATAAAGAAATGTTGACCTTGACCTTGACTTCGACACGAATAGCTGTTCCGTGTGGGAATCGAACCCACGTCCCTTGGCCTACAACACGGCCACTGCGCCCCGGAGTCATCGTCTAATTTAATTCCCCCTGTTCAGGATACGAGGACATGCAGGTGGCTGCCAACGAGCCCTACGACTCCTACCACCACAACATCATGCACCACAGCTACGTCCAGAGCAATCCGGGTAAATTTTACGTGTATAAAGTTTCTAGAAAGAGAAAGAAGTTTCCCGCCGGAAAATTACGTCAAAATCGGTCCATTGGTCTTGCAGGCCGTAGGTAACATCCTATATAAACATGCATGTACACATCGATTCTCATATTACATAGACACTAGGAGTGAGGCGTGTTTATCGTAACAGATAAATATAACAGGTATTTCGAGATAACAGACTGTAACCGTTACGAACAAACTTAAATAACAGTTCCTGTTCCACACCAATTCTTTTTTTTTCTTATAAAACATTGCCATTACTTTAGGATAATATTATCCTGTGTTGTAATGATGTTTTTCAAACATAAAATTCATGCAGACAAACACCCAGTTGCGAAACAACTATCTGTGGGTCACAAAAATAGTTGTCCCCTGTGGGTATCAAACCCACGACCACTGACGCCGAAGCCAATACCTTGGCAACTGCGCCACGGAGTCATCAATTGTTCCTTAACACGCTGTCACAAGGTTTTCTTTATTCATGCTTACGACTGTTGCCTTAGTTAGAAAGAGATAAAAACTGTTACACCTTGTCACAGTTGTTACTGAACACTGTCACTCTTACAAGCTCATTCTTTTTCTTGCATCGGTCTTATAGCTTTGTTAGACAGAGAAGTTCCCTTACTGTAACTGTAAACGGCTATTACAGTATGTTACTCTATACTCTATGGTAACAGTTACACACATTGTCACAACATAGTATGAAATAACAGGCTGTTAATTTGTAACAGGTATTTGCTACTTTTAAATAACAGGAACAGACGTAACTGGTACTCGATTTAATTTAGTATAGCTCACTCCTAATAGATACACATTTTTGTTAACGTATGGAAAATCCTTTAAGGATTTTGCCACTCCCCCGATCCGGTGGTATGTGGAAGTCACGAAACTGTATCAGTCAGAAACTGTATGTAAGTGCTACATGCGACAGAGATAACAGTGCGAAAGAAAAATTAGCCGACTGTCTCTTTCCAAAGGTGTTATATCGCCGAGTACAATACTTCCGCATGGTATAGTAAACTACTCCCGTAAACTTTGTTTAGTTGCTAAAAAACCGGTCAAGTGCGAGTAGGACTGGTTCTGTACCATTATCTATAAAAGCAGCAAAAACATCATGTCTGTTGTATTGTATGAGAGCCTTACTTAAATATTTTTTCATTCCGTTTTTAGTATCTGTTGTTATAGCGGCAACGCAAATACATGATCTGTGAAAATTTCAACAGTCTAACTATAACGGACAGAAAGACGGGCAGACAGAGTCTTAGTAATAGGGTCCCGTTTCACCCTTGGTGTACTAAACCCAGCCTGGTGAGAGAAAGACGGACGGCGGAGTCTCACTAATAGAGTTTAACTCTTTGGTAACCCCTAAGACAGTAAAGATTACAACCATTACAACGGTTGCCCGTAGCACTGGACAGTGAGATGCAGTCACTGCCTCTACGCTACGAGCGACCCTCCCCATCCTCCTTCGTCAGGGTCGTGAAGAGGAGGACCACGGCGAACAAGAAGGAGAGAAGACGGACGCAGAGCATAAACACCGCCTTCACCGACCTAAGGGAGTGCATACCAAACGTGCCGCCGGATACCAAACTCAGCAAGGTAGGTCACACTCTTACTCACTTCTAGATGCGGCTCTAAAAGATAAGTCTTTCTCTTATTACTTACGCTATCAAGTAAGTCTTACTACTACTTCCTTCTAGATGCGGCTATCAAAGGTAAGTTCTTTTACTCCCTTTCAACAGCGAGCTTAGTCTCAACCCTCAGCTGGTAAGAAGAGGTCTCTTTTGGTAGCCTTGACTTTTTAAGAGCCGTGATAGCTCGGAGTGCGGGCGCTCGCTTTGAATTCAGTATACTGGAGCAGCCTGAGTTCGAATCCCGGTGCCGGCAATAAAGAAATTGTTAGTTTTGACGTGCAAATTTTCGAAAAAAAAAAAGTCCGTCGGTGGTGGCGTGGTGGACTATGGCCTAAAATCCTCTGTACAGAGTAGGCGTTTGCCCAGCGGTGGGACATGTATAGGGTGTTACTTTACTTGTGCTGAGTTTCTTTCGCCGGTTCTTCTCAGTACAGTGGCTTTCTTTTCCGAACCTGTGGTAGTGTTTTGACTATCAATAAGCGAATGTAATGCTCCTATGTTGAATAAAGACATTTGATTTTGATTTTTTGATTTTTGTAAACTTTGTCATCTATCATCCCTAACTTAGCGTGGGCAGGATTGATTTGCGTCATTGAAAGCGGAGAATTTACTGTAATCAATTGACACACAGTTGACAGTCTCCCCGTATAATCGTGCCCACCCTCTATATATGACAGGTCGTAATGAAGGTACAACTTATCCTAATTGCAACGTCTAGACAATCAAAATGCATCGTAAAGTAATCAATAATATAAAAATCATTGGCAACTTCCGCAAAAATAAATTAATTGCAAGCCAAGTTATAACTAAGACTGTTAAAATAAACTAATTTTTAAAATAAACTGGATAGAATAAGTTGATATTGTTTTGATGACTCTGGGTTTCGAATGGTGGAAAGTGTCTATTATTTATTTATTTTATTTATTTATTCATAGGATTACCAACATAAGATACAGTGTCTACAATCCAAAAATAAAATGCTAAGAATCTACGTAACCGTTCTTACAATTAGACGTAATTGCCGCTGATTTTGTAACTAATTTTGAATAAGGATTCGATATCATTAAAAAAGGGGTTAACAAGACTGCAGTCTTTTGCCGGTTTATTGGACAGGTCTCATTTAATGAACCTTTTGCTATAATTAAAAAAGTTTACGGGACAGACTGTCTGTGTGTCATGAACGCTGTAAAGGGTTCGAAACTTCGGGAATTAAAATTAAAAAAATAAACGCGATAAATCGTAAAATTAGTTTCATTTATAATGGGTAATCGCGTAAATACAAGAAATTATTATGTGAATCTTTTGCTAGTTTTTTTTCATACAAGCATACGCCTGTTTTATCGCTGGTGGTGACAATATTTTGAAGTGAAAACTTCTTTAGGCGCGTCAATCTCACCGAACGCTTTCCCTGAGCTATTTTTAAATACCCAAAAATATTTTTGTTCTTATGGACATGATATAAATACTATTTTTAACGTTCTGGGTGCCTATAAAATATGTAGAATTAAATATTATACAATTTAAATTTTGATATCGTTTTTTAATAAGTGGGCTCCGTTTACCTCACCAGACGTTATACGAAAATTTAACACCTCAAGACGGTCTGCTGTGGTGAGGCCGTGGTTACTATAACAGTTAGGGTTGCCAACTGTTTTTGTCAAAAATAACGTATCTCGTATTTCACGTAGATAAAAATAAAGTATAAAGAAGAAAATAAAGTATTTTTCAAAATTTTTTTACATGTTGAAGATATTTTTCAGAAGTTTTTCACTATACCTACTTACTCAAATTTTTATTTCCAATTTTACATTCCCAATTTAAATTTGAATAAAAAACTAACTTTTAATTATAATGAAAATCTGGGAAAACACGTAGTAGTACACACACACACACACACACACACGCACGCACGCACGCACGCACGCACGCACGCACGCACGCACGCACGCACGCACGCACGCACGCACGCACGCACGCACGCACGCACGCACGCACGGACACACACACACACACACACACACACACACACACACACACACACACACACACACACACACTGATCCCACAAATATTATAGGTTTAGAAATATAGTAAATGTGAAATTCATAAATTTTCATATAACAAACAAAAAGTGATAAAATTTTCTTGGGATATATTTTTTTTTAGTAAACTATATAATATGATTAACAAAAAAGCTCCCAAGTTGAAATAGTCCTGTTTAAACTTAGTAGCATCGATAAAAGTAAAGTAATTATCCGCATAGTTATGTATGTACATACATTGTGTTTTATTTACGCATCACAGTAAAGATTGAAAATAAAGTATTTTCACATACATTATTTTTATGCAAAAGTATAAAGTATATTTACTAAAAATAAAGTAGGATACGTTATTATAAAGTATGGTTGGCAACCATACCAGTTACTATTCTACCATGGTAAAATAAAGCCATATGACCTTTATTACTAAATGGCGATTTACCACCAGTGTTAGCAACTGTTCAAAAGAGAAGGTTCATAAAGCAATTCAAAAACCCGCTAAAATTCACTAAACTCAAACCAAAACGACCTAATTAAGAAACATTTAGGACGTTTTGTTTTTTATTTGCCTCCTAAAAAACTTCCATTGTAATTTTTTTCGTCCTAAATTTTGAAAGAAACTTCTTAATTTGCTCTCTTGCTCTTTGCTGCTTGCTATTGCTTTTGCTTTGTGCTCGACTGTTAAAGAAAATAAGTTAAAAAAACCGGCCAAGTGCGAGTCGGACTCGCGGCATAAGGATTCCGTACCATTATCTATAAAAACAAATAAAAACAAAAGATAGGAACGGAACCTTTTGTTATAAGTAATCCAGTCTACATTATTTATAGTCTGATGCGTTATGTGGTTACTGTAGTGATACTCTGTGATTCAACTATTACACAAGTCTTGTCGTTGATTGGTTATGTCGTCCAGTACTCACTTAAATCGTTCTTCATCATAATTAATATATTATGTATGTATGTATATAATCTGAATCTCGGAAACGGTTCCAACGATTTTCATGGACTTTAGTATATGGGGATTTCGGGGGCGATAAATCGATCTAGCCGAGTTTCGTTTTCAGAAAACGTCGTTTTCTCCGTGTAAAACGAAGGTAAGTAAGGTAATGAAAAACTTCTATAGTATCATTAGGATACGAAGGTAAATTTCGCCACCTTAAATAAGGTAATAGCTCAGGTGGTAATTCAGGCGGTCCCGAAACCGGAATACGCCCGTTTCGAGTCCAGATGATTTTTTCTTTTTTTTTTTTTTTTTTTTTTAAGTTGCTTCTTTTGTGAGAAAAGATCCATCCAGGTACTTGCGTTTACCACTAACAGATTTTTTTCAAATATTTCAGATTATCTATTTACAAATTGTGCGTAACATCGAGAAATTACTTCTTTTTAGTAATTTTCCGCCGTATAAGAATATAGCGACATTATGTTAAGACGATTTAGAAAACTAGACACAGATTCGCTATAACTTTAAAAAATTGTAGAATCTTTTTTAATTTACTTGAAAATTTCTGTTGTCCGTGCCATTGACGTATTTAGAAGTCACCCGTAAAACTATATGCTGTCTCATTCTTACTTGTACGCCCGCCAGATGGTGCGAAAGAGATCGCAGAGCATCAACACTGCGTTCTCAAACCTCAGGGATCGTATACCAAGCGTCCTACCCGATACAAAGATGACCAAGGTCAGTGATAACATAGATTAGACAATATAGATAAATATTTAAATGACGCTTTAAATGTTTGTGTAGTCTGTGCTAGTCAGCGAAAAAATAACTAAATACAAGGGTAGAGAAAGAGATAGCAAAAAAATACTTAAAATTAGGATTACAAACATGAAAAAACTTTTAAGTTTATATTTATTAATATTCTTTAGTTCACTATGGAACAAAAATTTAGTTAGAAATTGAAATTTTATAGTCTAGTTTTTGAATATTTTTTTTTTGTATTCTAATGGACGAAGTCAATAAGGAACTGCATATTATATTGCAAACGAATCCGGGATAACTAAAAACTATAATTGCTAAACAGCTTTTCGTTGAACAATTCTTGTAGTCTAAATAATACAAATGTTCCATAAATTAGTGATATTTAACAATCTATTCACCGACACTTTGTTAAAAAATACTTTGGAAAAGAATATATCTTTTCCAAATTATTTTTTATCAAAGCGTTCTAACCAATTAACATAACTCAATAACGCAACAAATTACAACAAATTGAAAATATCCTTTTATTGAGATAACATTTATATTGTAGACATTATAGAACGGTGATAGCTGAGTGTCCTCTCACTTAATTATGTATTTATTTATTTATGTTCTTAAGGCAAAACTACCCGTTCAGCAGAATTACTTGCGGTTTCCAAATACCCAATTCGTACCATAACACGGGTTTTCGACCCACAACCTATAGGGTACTTCCGGTTCTAAAAACACCAAAATTGACATTTCGGTTAAAAGTACAGATATAGGGCTAATTCCAAAAAACGAAAAAAAGAATTAAAATTAAAGTAAATTTTGGTGCTTACAAGTTTTCGCGAAAATCTAAATTTGCATATCTTTTTATCGTGTTGACTCGGGACCCTTTATACACCTAATAGGGACTATAGACCTCAGTATCTGGTATAAATTTCAACTTGCTTGGTCCACCCGTTCCTGAGAAAATCGATGGTGACACACGGACAGATAGGACGGACAAGAGAATGATCTTATAATTGTTACTTTTCTTAACTTTTGCGGTACGGAACCCTAAAACATAGTTTTAACAAAAAAAATTAATCGTATCCGCATAGTCGAATACTTTTTCAAATAACGAAGTAAGACCTACCAAATATAGCCCATCACGTGACACGTGCTTTAAATTTCCATACCTCATTTAGTATAAAGTGATCTATTTAAACTGTGGTAGGGCAAAGTGGGATTCAGGTGTTGCACGAATGGGCAGGCTCGTCCGGGGAAGTACCACGGCCTACCAGAAGACCAACGAAAGCGAAAGTATTGCGTTTCCTCTGGCGCCTGAGGTAACCAGGGCCCACTTTTTATGGCAACGCATCTGCTATCCGTCTGGTGTAGATGTCTGTAGGCGGCGGTTATCACTTAAAATTGGATGAACTGCCTCGCTTGCCAGTATTTCATATTTTTTTTAAGTGAAAAGCTGCCAAGCGAGCAAACGGTTCTCCTGATGTTAAACGAATACCGCCGCCCATGGCCATCTGTTACACCCGAGGGTTGCAAATCCGTTGACAACCTTTAGAAAATTGGGCTTCACCAAAATTCAATTTCAATTATCTTTATTCAACATAGAAGCGTTACACTTACGTAAAAGAAAGTAAAGTAACAACCTATAAATGTCCCACTGTTGGGCAAAGGCCTCCTCTATACAGAGGGTATCAGTTTACCTCATAGTCCACCACGCGGCCCCACTGCGGATTGACGTATACTTTAAGGCCCATTTACACGGTGCCAGTTTCTTGCCTGTTGTATACAATTAAATTGAAGCAATAAATGAGTTGCATGGTCTAAACAACAAATGGTCTCAACAATTATTGCGCGCAATTTATTGCATTCAATTATTGCTCTTGTATGTACAAGAAAATGGTATCGTGTAAATGGTCCTTTAGTTTTTAACAACTTGTAGAACACACAGACTACCGCCTTACTTGCAAACCTGGAAAAAAATGTTATGCTGAAATAAGCAACGCCTTTGTGCAAGTTCTCTTTTATGAATCTTTACGTTTTTCGTGTCTGTGTGTGCAATAATAAATAAAAAAAAGCAGTCGTGTCGGACTGCCAACAGAAAACTTAAAACTGGAATTACTATTTTACATTATGTTTCTATTTTATTTTAAAACATTGCCCTTACTTTAGGATGAGATTAATCTGTGTTATAAGGACACGTATAAGGACGTTTACCACACACACATAGTTGTCCCGTGTGGGAATCGAACCCACGACCCTTAGCGCCGAAGCCAATACCTTGGCATCTGGGCCACACATTTTTAGTAGGAATAATTATTAGTACGATATTCGAAATTGTTTGTATCCTGGAAAGGATATAACAATAGATGGCACCAAGCATTGCTTCAAATGCTAAGAAAACAATGTAGAAGAATACGTTAAGATTTTCGTCGGTGTGGCAATCAGCCGTTTAGCTCAGTGGCTAGAGCGTCAGGCCGCGAATGCCGAAGACGTGGGTTCGATTCCCACAGCGGCGACAATCTTTTCGCACTTTTTCTACATATTTTAACGAATAATTAAAATCAATAAACGCCACTTTAAATTGCAAAAGGACTTTCTGAAAATTTAAAACGATAAAGAATAATTTTGAGTAATAAAATTTTATAGAAGTTTAGTTTTAAACAGCGCGACAAAATCACTGTCGAACAACTAGGACTGTTTTGCAGAGATCGAAATCAGAAAACAAAATTATATCAAAATCATCAATGTAACGACATAACATTAGCATGTCGGTGACGCAAACTTTTTTTTTATGTGAAAATTTTCCAAGCTAGCAGAAGGTTCACCTCATGTTAAGTGAAATCCGCCGCCCATGGACATCTGTTACACCCGTGGGTTACAGATGCGTTGACGACATTTTGAAAATTGGGCTCCGGCCACCTCACTCACCAGACGAAACGCGAAAGTATTATACTTCCACTTTACGCCGGTCTTTTGTGAGGTCGTTGTACTTAACCGGACGAGCCTGCCCATCCATGCAGCAGCCTCACCGTATATTATTCAAAAAGGATAACAACAAACACAACGGCGCATTACCATAAAGCGATGGTCTGCATCTGCTACACCCAAGGGGTCCAGATGCGTTGGCAACCTTAGGCAAAATTGGGCTCCGACCACCTCACTCACCAGACGAAACGCGAAAGTGTTATATAAGAGTTCTAACGATTTTACCTTGATCCTAATATTTTAACTATTACTGAACGTGAATATTAACAACTAGTATAACGGCAAGCGGCACTAGTGGTTAGATAACCGTCTGGGAATGCGGCCGAAATCCAAGTGACCACTCCTCCATGCGATCATGTGTCCCTTGGCTCGAGTAGATAACGTCATATCCGGTATACAGTGTTGCCAGCGCCAACAGTTACACATCCACCGGTCCTCTGTGAGGCAGTGGTACTTACCCGGACCGAACTGCCCATTCGTGTTGCGTGGCCCTACCACCGTGAAACTGCAAATAGTTAATAAACTTCTAACAGCGTTCAATTTCAACAGATTAAAACTCTCCGCCTGGCTACCTCGTACATCTCGTACCTGCTGAAGGTTCTGGAGACGGACGGCGAGCCGGCCGGCGGGTTCCGCGCCGAGCTGCACCACACGCCGCCCAGGCGGAGAACCGTCGACCCTAGCGCACAGGTGAGAGGGTGCAATTTCCTGCAGCAAGCGACGGAGCGTCATCGGCTGACGTCACGTCATCGCCCAGACGAGGACTATAGACCCTAGTGCGTAGGAGAGAGGGTGCAATTTCCAAACAACTGACGGAGCTTCATAGCGGCTGACGTCAGATCGCCGCTAAGGAGAATGACTCTCGACCCTAGCGAACAGGTGAGAGGGTGCAATTTCCTGCAGCAAGCGACGGAGCGTCATCGGCTGACGTCACGTCATCGCCCAGACGAGGACTATAGACCCTAGTGCGTAGGAGAGAGGGTGCAATTTCCAAACAACTGACGGAGCTTCATAGCGGCTGACGTCAGATCGCCGCCCAGGAGAATGACTCTCGACCCTAGCGCACAGGTGAGAGGGTGCAATTTCCTGCAGCAAGCGACGGAGCGTCATCGGCTGACGTCACGTCATCGCCCAGACGAGGACTATAGACCCTAGTGCGTAGGAGAGAGGGTGCAATTTCCAAACAACTGACGGAGCTTCATAGCGGCTGACGTCAGATCGCCGCTAAGGAGAATGACTCTCGACCCTAGCGAACAGGTGAGAGGGTGCAATTTCCTGCAGCAAGCGACGGAGCGTCATCGGCTGACGTCACGTCATCGCCCAGACGAGGACTATAGACCCTAGTGCGTAGGAGAGAGGGTGCAATTTCCAAACAACTGACGGAGCTTCATAGCGGCTGACGTCAGATCGCCGCCCAGGAGAATGACTCTCGACCCTAGCGCACAGGTGAGAGGGTGCAATTTCCTGCAGCAAGCGACGGAGCGCCATCGGCCGACGTCACGTCATCGCCCAGACGAGGACTCTAGACCCTAGTGCGTAGGCGAGAGGGTGCAATTTCCAAACAACTGACGGAGCTTCATAGCGGCTGACGTCAGATCGCCGCCCAGGAGAAGGACTCTCGACCCTAGCGCACAGGTGAGAGGGTGCAATTTCCTGCAGCAAGCGACGGAGCGTCATCAGTTGACGTCAAGTCATCGCCCTGACGAGGACTCTAGACCCTAGTGCGTAGGTGAGGGAGGTTTCATAGCAGCTGACATCGGATATAGTCCATTTTGATAAATATGAATTTGCAACTGATGCGGGAATAGAATTATTATCAGGCATTCTGTTTTGCAAACAATAATTTACTTTCGAACCCTAATAAAACTAAATATTTTATGATTTACACCCTTCCTTAGTTTTCTTCACTACATAGTATAAAACAAAGTCGTCCCGCTGTCGTGTCTGTCTCTATGTATGCTTTGATCTTTAAAACTACGCAACGGATGTTAATGCGATTGTTTTACTAGATAGAGTTTTTCAAGAGGTCGGTTCATATGTATAATACTTACATTGCACCCGTGCGAAGCCGGGGCGGTTCGCTAGTAGTTTACAAGTTAGGAATATGATATATTGAAAGTAAAATCCTGCCGCTTAAGGCAAACAGCTTTTCTTAGAATGTTCATTAATTAAAAATAGTGGACGCCGAGTGGTCGAAATTCGATCATAATTAATTTAAATTATAAGTTTCAACGATATTAATCAATTTAAAATTTTATAGTTTCGCTGCACTTAAGATTAAACATTAAAATTTGTAGAAAAAAAAATTTGTAGAAAAAAGTGCGAAAAGATTGTAGCCGCTGTGTGAATCGAACCCACGTCTTCGGCATTCGCTGCCTGACGCTTTAGCCACTAAGTTAAACGTCTGATTGCCATACCGACGAAAATCTTAACGTGTTTTATCTACATTCTTTTTTTACATTCTACCTTCTTTATATAAACTATAAGTGTGGGTTTCATACTCCTCCGTTTCTTCACTTCACTTTCTTCACGTATTAATATATAGATTACAAATAGGGAGTTCTTACAGAAGAATTAGCAAACAACTAGGATATACTAAAAAAACCCGACTACGTTTCTGTGTAATTTTTTTTTAATATACCCAGTGTCACACTCATATAAATACTAATCTAACGACACCTCTCAGACTGCAGAGCGTGCCAAACAATTACATATACATACTCTCGAAAAACATAACCCTCCTTCTGACGCAGTCGGGTAAGAAGTTCGGCGCTGCCGTTTTTGCCATACGCAAGGTCAGCTAAATCAGTTTATTATGCTTATTTTCCTCTTATAATATCATATGGTGTTGTACTTTGGGGTTCCGCATCCGGCTTAGACACAATATTTGTGTTACAAAAGCAAGCGATACGGGTTGTCTATGCACCCACCACGTGAGTTACTACGGCCACCTTTTTAAGCAAATAAACGTTGCAACGCTCACGTCAACACATATTCGAGAACATCACGTTTGTAATAATATCCCATCTTTTTACAAGACAAGTGCAAGTCGGACTTGCACACGAAGGGTTCCGTATCGTTATTTATAAAGACGGCAAAAAATCATGTCTGTTGTATGGGAGCCCCACTCAAATATTTTTTCTATTCCGTTTTTTAGTATTTTTTGTTATAGCGGCAACAGAAATACACCATCTGTGAAAATTTCAACTGTGACGGTTCAGCAGATACAGCTTGGTGACAGACGGACAGACAGACAGACAATCAGACAGAAAGACAGCGGATTCTCAGTAATAGGGCCCCGTTTTACCCTTTGGGTACGGAACCCTTAAAACATAATACATCGCGTCGGGGCCTCGGTGTATAATTTACCTAACTTAAAATTAACCTAACTGCTGCCCGCGACTACGTCTGCGTAGAATAGGCTGAAGGCGTAATATTCAGACAGATATACTTAAAATATGTATATAAATTATAGCCTATCTGTTATATGTGTTGTTCTGATGTATAAGCTATATTATTCTAAAGTTTCATTAAAATCCATTCAGTAATATTTGCGTTTTTATACATACATTTCGCGTTTATAATATTAGTAAGGATATAATTCCTCGCGGACGAAGTCGCGGGCACAGCTAATTCAAAATAAACGCGATAAATCCTCAAAACTACTATTAAATGTAGACAGTGGTAGGGCCACGCAGCAGCCTTGGCTGTTGCATGAATGGGCAGGCTCGTCCGGGTAAGTACCACGACCTCACAGAAGACCGGCGTAAAGTGGAAGTATAATACTTTCGCGTTTCGTCTGGTGAGTGATGGGGCTGGAGCCCAATTTACAAAAGGTTGTCAACGCATCTGAAACCCTTGGGTCTAGCAGGTGTCCATGGGCGGCGGTATTCACTTAACATCAGGTGAACCGTTTGCTCGCTTGGCAACTTTTACCATAAAAAAAAGACTACAATATAATAAATGTAACATTATACGAAGAAGAAAAGAAACGTGTTTTTTAAAACCCACGTTAGGTACTCCCGTCTACCAATGATGCAAGCATTTAGAGGGTAACTGCACTATAAGTGCAGCCACTCGACTCAGCATACATTTGCGTTCACAGGGGAAAGACGTCTTATCTCTTTCGAGTGCTCGAAACTGGCGCCAGCGGTTTCAACCAGCGCACGATTAGATTAAATCATTATTGAAGTAAAACTTCTTTACGCACGCTTGACTTGGGGAGTAAGCTGGTGAACGCGTGACGAGGCGTTACGAAAAGTGTGATCGACGTTACGAAAAGTGTCAACAGTGATTTCTTCACTATTTCGTAATTTAATTTCGTCCTTGAACAATTTATATAAATTAATATTCTGTTCAATACATTAAATATTCTTCGTTTAAAGTGAACAAAATTGTAAATTCATTTTAAAGCTCCTATTGTGAATAATAGCCGTGATAGCTCAGTGTCCGGGCGGCTCGCCTTTAATTCAATATACTCGAGCAACCTAAGTTCAATCCCGGGTGCCGGCACCAATGAAATTGTCAATAATAAGTGCTGAATTATCACGTGCTCAGCGGTGAAGGATAACATCGTGAGGAAACCTGTATATTTTCGAAATAATAACAAAAAAAAATATTTCAAAGATATGTGAAATCTACCAATCCGCAGTGGGGCCGCGTGGTGGACTATGCCCTGATACCCTCTGTATAGAGGAGGCCTTTGCCCAGCAGTGGGACATGTACAGGCTGATACTTTTTGTGTATAATAACAAATTATGGCATTATGGTTAGGAAGTGACACAGACTCTGAAAAAGTTAAAATTTTACTCCAGCCGTGTGGCCTATAGATGGTACATAATAAGTAGTAGTAATTCAATGATTTTTTTAATATTTTTTTTTGGAAAGACACAATCTAAAAGCTAATTTCGGCTTCTTTATCTGTATATACAAATCCAGGAAATATTCCAGGATTAACAATATTTTAGCGTTTACGACATTTGCAACATGGCTGCTTTCCCGCCGAAAGCGGGGCGCCATTTTCCCCCGACGCGGACGCTTTGATACGATAAATACGTATATAAATACTCTCGAATTACGCTAGCCAGACTCTGGAACGTTCCGCAGGGCCATGTGGCGTTGCCCGATCAAATTATGGGGGCGTTCGTGAAAGATTAGCGCGCGTTTATTGCTTAGAGAGAACGCTCTGGCGGAAATGAATTTTGCGCGTTCTGGAAGTTCTTACTACGAACACAGTTAACAACTGATTGACGACCCAATTGGCGTAGTGGAGAGTGAACCTGTCTCTCGCATCAGGGATTGTGGGTTCGATCCCCACTACTGGAGAAATATTGTGTGATGAACATTAAGTTTTTTTATGTCTGGGTATTTATATATCAATAATATGTATTTATTCACAAAAGAAAAATACGCCTATCAGTAAAAATATGTCCTCAAATATCCTGTGATTTTTACTGTAACTTGACCATCTATCTAACTAGCGGATAGGCACAGGCTCGAATCACGTAGCACCGAAAAATCTTTCAACATTTATCCATTTAACTCACGTTTAAAAACGTCGTCATAAATGAAGATATTGAAATTAATATTCGGCTTCATTATATAACTTGGAATTGTAGGTAAATATCAAGCAGCAGTTACCATGGTAACATCATGAAGTAGGTGCCACGCAAAAAATCCATTTTCACAATTTTGCCCAAACGCACCAAAAGAAGTATAACTAATTGAAGATATCCCAAAAAGTAATATTTCAACACAACTGTGGCCGGCTATCC